CGGGGTTCGAGTTCCCGGAAGGTGACCCGGTCACCCCGGAGGTGGCGGTGGGACTCAGGCTTCTCACACTCGGGGAGCTCGGCAAAGTTTTCCCTCAGGAGTGGATGCTCCAGGGGTTTTTCTTCTCCGACAACCCGTCCCTGCCCTTCGGTCTGGTTCAATTCAAGGTCAGATTTCAGCTAATCCTTTTCTGGTTTAGTTCTCCAATTCACGTTTACAAAATTTTCCGTTCGATTTTTGCGATTCCCATAGTTTTAGCACGACTCCCACAAAAAAAATCGATCGTACGCCTGTAATTTATTCAAGTAGGCGTTACTTATTTTTTATGCAATTTTTTCATCAATGATTATAATCTAGGGCGGACCCTGCGGCGTGCTGGCATCCGTCCAGGCCCACGTGATCAAGCACCTCGAGACCCTCCCGAACGGCGTCTTCGCGTGCGACTCGAAGGACCGCGAGGCGGCGCTGGCCGCGGCGATGACCGAGATCCTCTGGCGGGCCGGACGCGGCCGCTCCGCCTCCGTCGCCCTGTGAGACTCCCTTTTCCCGTTTCCCGATCCCCGTCGACGTTTCCGAAAAAAAGGAATCGAAAATCTCCTACGGATTTTACAGACCGTCGGGGAAGGTCCTCTTTCACGGCCTGGGGAAATTCAAGCCGGACGGCATCACGGAGAAACTCGTGGAGAAGCGGTTCCACCACTCCGACGAGATGGAGAAATACCTGAGGAAACACCGGAACGCCTTCATGAATCGCGGCGGATGCATCGCCTTTCTCTATTCCGCGATCCTCTCCAGAGGGATCCAGAGGCGAGTTTTGGGTGACGACGCGTGGATCGATCTCGGTCATCACGAATGAATGAACCGGATGACGACTCCAAGTTTTTCGGCTATCTATAGAAAATCGTCGAAGACGAGAGCATCGCGCTTCCGCCGTGCATAAGATATAAACCCCGGGGTTTTCATTCGTAGGATCCGAGACGACATGGACGACCCCAAGTCGACCTTGATCGGCGTGCACGGCTACTGCACGCAGGAGATGGTGAACCTGTTCCTCACGGGGAAGGCGTCTTCGAACGTCTTCGACGGGAACCTGGAGCTGGGAGACAAGCCGGGCGAGAAGACCCTGCTCAAGGGAATATCGAAGAGGGCTCAGATCGGGTTCCTGTCTCTCTTCGAGCACTACAACTGCTGTAAAGTGAGCGATCCACGAAATTTCCCGTCTCTTTCGTCACGGCGAGAGATCCCGAGGTCGAACGATTCTCTCTCGATAGGTCGGCGAAAGTCTGAAGAATCCCATTTTGCCCATCTGGGTGATCTGCTCCGAGAGCCACTTCTCCGTCCTCTTCAGCCTTTCGGCCCGCTTTCAAGACACGACCAGCTTCGACCTCTTCTACTACGACGGCCTGGCGTGTCAGGACGCCCCGATACGGCTCACGATCGGCAAGTGCCCGACGAGCCTCCATCCTTTTTCATCGTTTTTTTTTTTTTACTAACCCGAACGAACGGCTCCCTTTTCCAGATCCTCTGGGAGATCCGGGATCCACGGTTCAGAACATCAAGGACATCCACCTCGTCCCGCCCTTGGAACTCGTGATTCGCACCAAGTGGGTTCTCGCTTCGATCGATTGGAACGGGACAGAACGGATCTTGTGACGAACACCTCCCCCCAGAATCGGCCCGACCGTCCAGAATTGCCTTCTCCTCTGAATGTGATACGAGACCGAGTATTGCACAGGTGTCTTTCCTGAAGTGATTCGTAGCACCAGGGCATAAAACATGTTATTCAAAGCCGTATGTTATTATTCAGAATCGAAACAGCTCCGCAAACAGGTACTTAGGGGTAGGTAGTGTAAAATGGGATACCGATGTTCCAGTTACTCTGCATTGCAGCCATGTATAGGTAGTGAGTGCATGAGTAGCAGGTACAATCACGGACCATTTGCATATGGCGGCATCCATTGGTATCGAATCCCCACTGGATCAGGTGAGAAAGTTTATTAAACATCTAACACAACATTTTCATTAGCAGTTGCTTACATCACCAGTACTGAGAAATTTTTTTTAATAACTACTGTGCTCATAATCTATAGGATTACTTCAACGACGAACTGTCGTTTCAAAAAAAAAATGACGAAAAGTCTCTAAGTTTCATTTTGGTCTGTTTCAACATGGAGGCATGGTGTTGAGTAAAACGGGATAGCTCTCGTGTGAGTGAAATGGAATACATCCTATTTTACCTTCATACGAAAAATCGTCTTGCAGTGTCGTGATTACTTGATATCACATATGTCACATCGACTTCAGCACTGTTGAGTAGATAACCATTAAAACTGATGAACGTTTTCTTACCTTTACCATATTTTTTTTAAAGCCAAGAATGCATTCTAATTATTAGCGCAAAGAAAGCCGGCAGTCATGGGGTGAAGTTGCCATGAATAAAGCTATTGATGCGATTTCCAAAGGGGAATTGGGATTTAAAACAGCTGCCAAAACCTATCGTACCTCACCGGTACGATAATAATAATAGGAATCAGATTTTAATTAAGAGCACCCACATGCAAACACGTCACGAACGCCTACACAGGATTGAACCTGGTCAGAACGGACGAGAAGTGGGCGGTTGAGGGTCTGTCCGAGTGTCGGTCAACGAACGTGTCGTTCGAGCAGTCAATGTTGATGAAGCCTGGTCTGGGGAGTCAAGAATCATTGGGGAAGGAGAAGCCGTACGAGAATTCCTAGGAACGGATGCGGAGGGGAGGAGAGTCCACGACGGAGGGAGTTTCAAGGACTCGCAGCATCCGGAGAGAGAGGAGTCTGGGAGGAGCAGGGACGAGAGCGGGCACAAGGTCTGGATGAGCATGTCCCAGGATCAGGAGGAGGCGAGATTGGAGTTCATCGACGTAGAGGACGAGGTGGAGGACGAGGAGGGAGGTGAGGAGGTTCTCGGGGTTCGAGTTCCCGGAAGGTGACCCGGTCACCCCGGAGGTGGCGGTGGGACTCAGGCTTCTCACACTTGGGGAGCTCGGCAAAGTTTTCCCTCAGGAGTGGATGCTCCAGGGGTTTTTCTTCTCCGACAACCCGTCCCTGCCCTTCGGTCTGGTTCATTTCAAGGTCCGATTTCGGCTAATCCTTTTTTGGTTTAGTTCTCCGATTCACGTTTCCAAAAATTTTCCATTCGATTTTTGTCATTCCCATATGTTTGCACGACTCCCAAAAACAAATCGATGGTTTGCCTTTAATTTCTTCAACATGGCATAATTTATTTTTAATGTGATTTTTTAAATTATCAATAATCAATATCTAGGGCGGACCGTGCGGCGTTTCCCGCACCGGTCCAGGCCCACGTGATCAAGTACTTTGAGACCCTCCCGAACGGCGTCTTTGCGTGCGTCTCGAAGGACCGCGAGGCGGCCCTGGTCGCGGCACTGACGGAGATCCCTTGACGAAGGCGGAGCGGAAGCGCCCGAGCCGGGCGCTTCCGCTCCGCCTCCGTCGCCCTGTGAGACTCCTGATCCCGTCAACGTTCCCGGGAAAGCGAATAGAAAATCTCGAACGGATTTTACAGGCTATCGAGGAAGGTCCTCTTTCACGGCCTGAAGAAATTCACGCCGGATGGGGTCACGGAGAATCTCGTGGAGAAGCGGTTCCTCCACTCCGACGAGATTGAGAAATACCTGAGGAAACACCGGAATGTCTTCATGAATCGCGGCGCGTCGAACGAGAATTCCTGGGAACAGATGCTGATGGGACGAGAGTCTACGTCGGTGGAGAGTTTAAAGGACTCTCCGGATCCGGAGAGAGGAGTCTGGGAGGAGCACGGACGAGAGCGGGCACAAGGTCTGGATGAGCATGTCCCAGGATCAGGAGGAGGCGAGATTCGAGTTCATCGTCGTGGAGGACGGAGATGGAGTTCGCGGGGTTCGAGTTCCCGGAGGGGTTCCACACCGTGGAACTCGTGATTCGCACCAAGTGGGTCCTCGCTTTGATTGATTGTAACGGAACAGAACGGATCTTGTGACGAACACCTCCCCCCAGAATCGTCCCGAATTGCCTTCTCGTCTGAGTATGATACGAGACTATTGCAGAGGTGTCTTTCCTGAAGTGATTCGTAGCACCAGGGCATAAAAGATGTTATTCAAAGCCGTATGTTATTATTCAGAATCGAAACAGCCTCACAAACAGATACATAAACTGCATATGAGGGTATGTATGCAAAAATTCTTTCACGATTACAAGTTCTGCACTGAGTTGGAGAAACCCTCCACACCGTTCGGAAGATTTTCGTGCAGCCACGGCGCTCCTGCTGCGGACGAGTGACGCACGTGCCTGAGAGAGCGAGCCGGCATCACTGCATTAAATCGGTGAGATTGGCGAAGGCACACCCACCAAGGCCATTAGCAGCCATCAGATTCACTAGCTGCCTCGCCTGGCCGAGGGCCAGCTCGAGTGGAGGGCGAGACGGCAGGCTGAGGGAGTCGAGGATGGCGGAGTTCAAGGCAGCACAAACTGGTTCTCTCTGGACTGGGTCTAACTGCCATCCAACTGGTGAATTCCAGGGATCTGAGTACGCCAGCAGACTGAATGCATCCAGCATCATCTGCTGATTGATCTCACTGGTCCCGTGTTCGCGTTGGAGTCGAACACTCAGGCCCTTGAGCTCCTGCCCGAAATGAAGTATCTGCTCTAAGTGAGCCAAGTTCATGCTATGTTTGGACGAACCGGACTCGTCAACGTCCATTTCGTCGACTCCGGCAGAGCACCCATTTTGATAGCCATTGGTCACGGCTTCTTTGGACTCTTCACCGTCTTGTTTGTGCTCCTCATTGTTTTCATTCAACTCATCGACAGTCGGAAGGGCAGAGCTCTTCGACGACACAATCACGGGATTGCGTACGTTGCTAGGAGAGAAGGAACCAGGGGAGTGAAGAGGACTGGATCCGTGGCTCTTGGGACTTCTGGCTGGACGCACTTCTGAATCCGTCCCATTCACCATTTCCACAAATTGTCGACACTTCAACATGAAGAGCAAGTCTGGGTTCCTATCAAGAAGTCCTGGATATAAGGATTGGGTAGCTTCAATGGCTTCTCCCATCCTTCCAGCCAGAACCAAACGCTGGATCTTTTGCCTGTTTTTGATAGATGCAAGTTCTTCTTCAAAGGGCTGATTGGTTCCTCTGGCAAAAGCTTCTGCCGTTGAAACGTAGCCATGATGAATGAGATATGTGATCACCATACGATGAAGGGTCATCTCCCACTGCCCTTTGCAGTCTCGGATGGGGTAGTTCATGATGGTTGAATGTACCCTGCTTCGGGCCTCCTTCATCATGTCCTCAATGTCGAAGACAAATGGCACCTGGCCAAAATTGGCATCCACAACTTCACCAGGTGTCTGGAGTCCGACAGTGGGATAGAGATCAGGAGGAAGTCCAGTGAAGGCCACCCCAAGGTTGTGTCCATTCACAGTATAGAAGCACGTCCTGTCAATGAGGTTCACCCCACAGCCAATGACATCACCAGTTGTGAACGTTGGTCCATAGGGCTGCCCAGTCCCTGATGAACAGAAGCAATGGCCATCATCACCATGATAACCATAGGAATGCTTATCCCAGCCTGGGAGGCGGTTCATGCTCACTCCTTGGGCTGACAGTCCGATTCCCATGTAACCATCTCGGCCTTTGCTAACGATGGTCACCTCGAAGTAATATAGGCCACATGCTGCAGGGATTGGATGAGTGGCCCTAACACTGGCAGCATCTTTGTGTGTATTGCCATGACCCTTGTAATGGACACGAAGATTGCTTTGTGATAATCCGATGAAACTGTATTTGTCATCCGAACTCCAACATCTTGGCAAGGGAGTTAGGTCCTCATTCACCATGGGATAGAGTGCCTTTAGCCTATCCTCTGGACCTGTATCTCCAGGTCCTTCACTACCACCCCCTGGATGTGCCATCTACAAAATATGAATATATAACATCAGGTGGCTTGAATCATGAGAAAACTAGGAACATCTAAAAAAATTCATTTAAAAACACATTCATGCACATGCTATGGATAGTGTGTCTCCCTTCAAAACCCTCCTTTTTCTTTATGGCTCATTTTATACCAACTACTATGATTTACAGAATCAATAAACACAACAAATAAAGAAACTAACTTGTCAATGATAGGTACCATTCTGAAGTGTTACACACCAGCAGATATACTGGTGAAGAACGAACATCTTTAGTAAAGTCAATACCAAAATTGAAACAGAACACAGAAATGGACCAATATGTTCTATAGAAGCAGGACTATAGGCCAGGAGCATTAACCTGAGAAGTGCCAGAAGCAATATGGTAGTCTACCAACTTCGAATTTATCAACAGTTGGCACTTCTAGGGTTAAGAAAGAAGGGAGAGAGGGAGGGAAATAAGATTTGATTAAATAAGAAGAGAGATATCAATATTGACATGTTGAGGGCTTATCTGGGCCATCACAACAAACCTGAATAACACAATGTTTGCCCTGGGCTGCCAGGATTGGAATAGTAACATGTATACATACCTGCTGCTTTCATATTAAAATTCTTTCATGTTCAGAAAATATGTACTTTAGCTTGTTAGGATATGTTTCTCAGATGGTCATCACTTTTACTTCCTTTGGAAAGGTATTGTAATACCCAGCAGCAGCAATGACAGTTGACCTGTAACCAAAATGAGTTATTTCTTACAATGTCTTAATGCTCATAAAATTTTAAGCTCTTCATCTTAAAAGTTCTTGTTTGCTTCTTAGAGACTGATTAAAGTTAAAGTTACCCCTCTTGGTGTTGTAATACATGAAGATATTTAAATCTCTTTTTTCAATGTGACCCCATAGTCTGAAATAAGCATGGGTTCTTTATACTTAGAATGAGGATGGTTCATGATTCTCTTAGTTTTGGCAATTACAATTTGATTTTCATGAGAACAAGCTGTTAACATAAGATAGATTAACAGGCACTAGCTTGGGGTTGTGTAATATTTAGGTAAAACTGAAATACAGAATTATTATTGAATCTCACTCCTAAAAACAATGTGTAGTTACTCTACACAGCAGTGCTGCATATCCTCAAATGACTGACAATATTAAAACAACTTCTATGGCACAGTGAGATTTGTAGGTGTTGCATCTTTGATGAAACATGAATTAAACCAAGCAGTATGATTACTTCAGGGCTAGAAGGGGATGGAAAAAAGGAACCATATGTCCCTAGGAGTAGGAAGATGGTTTGTTGATATCTGACAATTCATTCCCACCCCCCTTTATTTATTTATTAGGTCGATGAAATTAATATGAAAGTCTCCTCCCTGGTCCCAAGGGGAGGAAGTTAACAATACAGTGTTGACCTAGGAGCTACCTGAAACAATTACAGGGCACAAAGTACTTTGTAGAGCTAGGTGGCTATTGTGGAAAATGGGAAAGCTGTAAATTAATTAAATATTTACTGTGAATAGATTAATTAAATACTGCAAATTAAGGAGGTGGGCAGTGATACAAACATCAGTCCTTGAAGTATGTTGATGATTGAAAGCAACCTCTGCAAGTTATGAGGACTGTAGATGAGGGGTGAGGAGAGGGGAAAGCTGTTGCTTTGAGTAAAGATAAAAATTGGTGCTCTTGTGAAGAAAAGATACAGTCCATTGGAATAACTTTAAGATAGATTGCATAGGGGAGAACAATCTACATCGAGTGTAATGCCATATGCAACAGAAAGGGCATCAGGCCAAGGACACCACCATAGGGGCCAGCCAAGTTGATTGCAGGGGGTACCAAGGAATACCCATAAATTCAAGTGGAAACCAACAAGGACTTGCTGGCCATAACCAAACCAAGCAAGAAAAGCTCTAATACATCTCAGAATCTGCTCAAAGACAATCTGCTTTCAGCTTCAAGTACAGTTTTTGAGGGAAATAGCCTTCACGAAGTCTAACTAAATTGTGACATTAACCGGACACAATGGAGGGGCAATATAGGCTAAATTCATGAGGCTAAGATCACCTTAATCCTCACTTCAAATGTCAAAATGCAAACATGCAAGAAGGCTCCACCCAAGAAATATGAAGCAAAACAAAGGAAGCTGTTACTCTCAAAGTGCTAATTCACACTAAAGCACTGTTTCAAGAGCACTTATCAATTTATTCTAGATTTGTGGCAGTATTCTCTAAATATTGCAAAATGCTCTCTCTTCAACCTCATTCTCCACGAACTAACAGAAATTAATAAAATGACATGATTCTTGAAATTAATTTAATCGTTTCTGATTTAATTCCAAAAAGTGACTTCAAACAATCCTTACTTTTTGACATCAACGGGTATCCAATCCTCTATTACCACCTAGCTTATAAAATGGCAAGGGAAATGAACATGTGTTCTGCACCCTTGGGTAAGTAGGTCTAAGGAATAGCCATGGCCTAACAAAATGTCTTAAGGGCCTCAAAAGACGGCTGAGTTCACGACAGGGCAAAATCAACTCGAAAATATTACTTCAAGCGAAGGAAGTCTTCCACATAGATCTCAAGCACTCCTTCCTTCCCAATGCAACGCAAAAAGAATATAACGCATTGACTCCAAGAAGCCAAGGTTTATCCGCACTCAGGTGTGGCAAGTAATGCGATCCAATATGGGCTGATTTCGGGGATGTCGAAACGGACTCGCCAAGGCTGAGGATTTTTTGGAAATATCAATCGCAACATGACTGTATTTCTTCTGTAAAACTTGGATTGAAATGCACCCTTCGATTATTCCATGGGTTAAAAATGAGCATATGTTGACTAGGATTCAGAAATAAATAGAAACTGGAAAAATACGTCGACGTCATTTCTGGCAACCTAGGCCGATGGCGGAACCCTTGGCACGACGTCCACGTGCGGAGCCGCTCGCTCAGAGACGTGTCCCGTGAAAATGCTTCAGAGAAGATTCCTGGACTTCCTCAGGAGTGCAGGTTCCCTGTACGTGACCAGAAGAACAGCTATTTCAAGTGCTGCTTCTGTGACTCGCCCCAATCACCGTGGTGATTTGGACTATCAACTTTCACTGGTGAGAGCTAAGCATGCGAGTAGCGCATCGGTTCATCAGTCTGTACGTTCGCTTCCAGACGCGGCACCCCAGATATTGGCCACTGACCCTGTGCATTGTGTGATACCCAGCAAGAAAGATCTTCCAGGTCGATGGACGAACTCACCCGCCATTCTCCCCCCTAGTTTCCTCCATGATGAGAGGGAGCTGTTGCTCCCATCTCTAGTGAAAGCACTCACTCTGGAGGAGCCACAGAAGCATAAAGTCCCAGTGGTTGAACCACACTCAGAGAGACCCCAAATGAAGTGCAGTGAAGGGATTCCTGGCATCGTCGTCATTCGAAGGAGGAAGATGAAGAAGCACAGATTGAAAAAGTTTCGTAAGAGATACAAATTCATGCTGGAGAGGAGAAAGATAAGAAGAGAAACTGCCAAGGAAATCGTATTCCAAGCCGACTTGAACGCAGCCATCACAGCTGCCGAGACTTACAATCCCAAAGCCGAGATGAACACCCTCCTGGATAACTTGGAGAAGGAGTACCTTCCACGCTACTGGAACGGCAAGGCACATCCTCCTTCCATCATCAGAGAACTCTATGATAAAAAGAAAGCCAAGGATGCTGCAGCAACAGAGAAAAAACTGCATACCCACATCCAGAACCTTCTTGATGAGTGGGAGAAGAGTGGAAAGCTTAAATATTAGTTTGTGATTATGCAAATTTGATTGGATAAATTACTTTCTTCTTCCATTTGTCCCATATTCATTTATTTCAATATATGTATTAAAGTATATATAGTATTAAAGTAAAGTATAAGCTTCCCTCCTATCCCACCCTGGCTGAGGTCCTAAAGATAGGCTTATTCAGCTACTGTGCTTATCACACTTGTTGTTCTGAATGAACCAAGTGAATTGCATAGTGCAGATCAATAGAGATCATGCCAACCCTAAAATTGCCACCAAGTGTATGTGAAGGTTGAGAGTTGGCATTCCTCAGTATGATGAATTGGGAGTCTACTGTATTAGGCTAGCTGAAAGGGCATTTAGACTTTAATATGCTTACTCAAATTCAGAGATCTCATCAGGTGTAATGGTGGAAAGTTGCATTCTTCATGTAGCGTACCACCATATAAATTTTCATTAGCACTATATATCCATCAGAAGGTGCAAGAAACTTGTATCTCACCAGTCTGACGGGCAACAAAAGAGGGGGGTATCAGCTAAAGATGGAATTCTGCAAATAGATTGAAGCAGACTCAAGGTATTGCTTCCAAGGTGGGAGGCTCATCCAATTAAGTCTAGAGGACACATTCCCAGTTAGGTCATGAAGGTGCTGAGAGATGTATTCCAGCTAAACTCATAGCTCATGATGGTGGCAAAGAATTGCAAGTAATTAAAGACAGCCATTTGCAACCATGTAAATTTGTCATTTGTCAATCTGAACCTCACAAGCGAAGAAAGGTGATGCATGGGATTTTTTCCATGGTTATTTTATCAGAGTTCAGCAACATAGTTATGTTCACTCCAAATCAGATTATCCAGAGGGAAATCTTTACTCATTTTGTCATATTATTTGAACAGTTCACAGAAATCTTTCAGCAATTTACTTTCATGTTCCAATGATTTTCCAGTGTTCCAGTTTTATGTTACTTGAAGTATATGAAAATGCCCATTATCAGGATAATGATAAAGTGAAAGGGGGGGGGGCGGGCGATTCCTGATAACTCGAAACGATTTGCCCGGTCCCTGAAAGTTCGAGTTAGCGAGTTTTCACTGTATATCTCTATAAGCTTCCCTCCTATCCCACCCTGGCTGAGGTCCTAAAGATAGGCTTATTCAGCTACTGTGGTTATCACACTTGTTGTTCTGAATGAACCAAGTGAATTGCATAGTGCAGATCAATAGAGATTAGGCCAACCCTAAAATTGCCACCAAGTGTATGTGAAGGTTGAGAGTTGGCATTCCTCTTACTCAAATTCAGAGATCTCATCAGGTGTAATGGTGGAAAGTTGCATTCTTCATGTAGCATACCACCATATAAATTTTCATTAGCACTATATATCCATCAGAAGGTGCAAGAGTCTTGTATCTCACCAGTCTGACAGGCAACAAAAGAGGGGGGTATCAGCTAATGATGGAATTCTGCAAATAGATTGAAGCAGACTCAAGGTATTGCTTCCAAGGTGGGAGGCTCATCCAATTAAGTCTAGAGGAGACATTCCCAGTTAGGTCATGAAGGTGCTGAGAGATGTATTCCAGCTAAACTCATAGCTCATGATGGTGGCAAAGAATTGCAAGTAATTAAAGACAGCCATTTGCAACCATGCAAATTTGTCATTTGTCAATCTGAACCTCACAAGTGAAGAAAGGTGATGCATGGGATTTTTTCCATGGTTATTTTATCAGAGTTCAGCAACATAGTTATGTTCACTCCAAATCAGATTATCTGGAGGGAAATCTTTACTCATTTTGTCATGTTATTTGAACAGTTCACAGAAATCTTTCAGCAATTTACTTTCATGTTCCAATGATTTTCCAGTGTTCCAGTTTTATGTTACTTGAAGTATATGAAAATGCCCATTATCAGGATAATGATGAAGTGAATCTGAAAATCCGTTAAGCTTGCTTCAATAATGAAATATGATTTTTAGGGTGAAAAGTCTCATTTGGAAAGTTTTGAAGTGATAGAATAATTACCTCACCATCTCCTGATGTTTCCATGTTGTCTTCTCTTGGTTGTGTCAATGCACTCGTGCAATCTTAGCCAATGTTGAAGAGGAGTTGCTTTTTTTGTTCCACTGTGCTTTAGTTGCATCACAAGTGGGAATTTGATGACTCAACTGCTTGTGCAATGTAGTGAAGACTTACTACCATAAATGTCAGAAATGAGCACATGGTGGTTTAAATTCTAATTCCACATTGAGAACCTCTTTCAAGTAAGTGGCTCTCTAGGCCTTGCATTACCTAGGATATTGTGTTTCCTGCAACAGAAAGCAAAGCTCTGGCAATGTGGAACAACACCTTCAAGTTTTGAAATCAAATATACTCCTAGAGTAATTGCTGCTCAGGAGGCATGGCAGAAATGCAATAACATTCCTTTCCAACTGTATATAATCACAGAAGGTATGATGCCCCTTAACAAGTTGACTACCCATGTCCAGTTAACTAGTCATTAATGGGAAGACAAGGAAGCCCATCAAGCAATCCATTCATTTTCCATTAGCACTGTAACCCTGTGGCTTGGGGGATTGATACAATATGAGGCATGGGCCTCTGACAAGCCCCAGCCAGGAGATTCTGAGTTGGTATAGAGCATATTGGGATGGGTTAATGTATCACCCTGGACTTGCCATGTCCATGACCTTTAAAATAATGAGATGTGTATCAAGCCCAAACCAAAATCAAACCAGTATTAATAAAAATAAAAGTTTGCATTATCTTCTGCAACATAAAAAAAGGAATACATGAATGAATTGCAGGAGTGCTACATGTTTTGCCAATTTTGCAAACCTGACAAAAAGTTGGCATGTTGCAATATACTGTCTTATTAGATTCCACTTCCATTTCAAATATGAATGACTTAAGCCAAGAAGCAGGAAGCAATGAATTATTGAGCATAACAGTATAAGTAAATTGACTGGAGTTGAAGAAAAGTAGCATCAGTTCTACAGTGAAAGGGGTGAAGTTTAACTTCTTTTCCTCAGTAACCTCTGAACACCTGAACATCAAAATCACTGAGCAACTTTTTTGTTTCAGTAACCAGCAACTTCTGTTCTAGCTAATGTACCTACCCAACACTGGAATATCCTCAATAATTAGTTTCAGTGGAAAAAGGGCAATGGAAATTTATTGCACAGAACCTCAAAGCAAGGCCTAAATTCAGATCCCTGAATACCCATCTTAATACTTGAGATATCTCGAATTTCTGAAAATATATACAACAATGAATTGAAGTCACACAAGACCACTTCTCAATTTGATATAAATCACGGTTCTTGAAATTTCTTCATTGACAAGGTGCCAAAAAAGGTAATGACAGCAGAAGAAGGCAATGCTTTGGGACCCTCTGAGCAATCATGAAACTCACCACAAAAAAAATAATACTGAATTCAAAACTTGGACCTTTGGAGACAAATAATTTAATGCCCATTCAATGCCCTTTACAAAAGAAAAAAGATCCAAAGTGGAAAATTGTTCTGAGAACACAACATGGAATGTTTTTCATGAAAATCACTTTTCCTTTTAGAAAAATTATCAGGTTGCATTTTGATTAGCCAAGAAATGAAGCCAGTTACGGCCCTGCCCTGGAACCACCCTTTTCGGATCAAAGTCGGCATCAACTCGCATCTGAAGGAAGCGCGTTGCTCCATCACTGATGTACATGTCAAGTGGAGAGTGATGAACTGTGTGAGTCTTGTAGGCTTTTTTGGAGTAGAATATGGCATCACAGACACGACACTTGATGATGGTTGACGGTTGAACATCTCTTTCTTCTGAAGAGTGGGAATTCCTTAGATGCTTCTGGAGATTATACTTGATCATGTACTCACAGCCACAAAGGTGACAGTAGTACACCATATGCAAGTCACCAGCATTATCAACCTGCAAAGAAACATAAGTTATGTCATATACTGACCTGAAAAACATTTATTTATTTATTTCATTTAATTTTCTTTTGCTGTCATGAGGAAAGGCTTCACAATTGATGCTTGAGTAATGAAGGAATGTTGAGACCTGAAGGGGGGAGGTCTTTGAGAATCCCATCAGAGTCCAAAGGGAGATTTTGACAAAGATAATTCCAAATGATATGCTATCATTCAGTTAATATTACTTCTTTTTTGTGCCAACTGTTTAGTAAATGTGAATTTTTTAAATGGTATAGTGACTTATGGAGCACTCTGAAGAATGAAATTCCCAACTTGTAAAAAAGATTCCTACATCCTTCTTACCTTCACTTTTTTGCTTGGAGGAGGAGGAATGACTTGTGGAATGAGACGGTGGTCCCAGCGGTGAACAGTTTTAACATGATAGTCAAGGGCTCCAGTAGAGAAGAACTCCTCAGCACAGCCTCCACAACTGAATATGCCTTCAGGCTTTTCAACTGCAAGAAACAGATTGCATGCTTAAATACACAGTTTCTGCCTTTATTTGAGAAACGAGGATTTTTATAACTTACATGCATGAGTCTTCATGTGTGCTTCCCGACAAGTCTTCAGCGGAAAGTTCTTGCCGCACATCGGACAGTAATACCGTTCATTGCTGTCCCTATGCTTTCTGAACTTGTGTGTGAGGGCAAGAGAAAGATCCTCAAATGTGGCATCACAGGCATCACACTTGATTTCCTTGCTTGAAGTGATGCATTCTATTTTTCTTTTTCTGTTTCCCTTCTGCTCCGACTTACCTTTGCTGCCAATCTGATTGTTGGCATGCTTCCGAAAGTGTTCTTGCAGTAGGGCTTTTGTTTCCAGTTTCTCCCCACAAAGAACACATAAGTGTGATGGAGAGGAATTTGAAGCCATCTTGTTTGATGCACCCTGACTCTCCTGCTGCAAAATAAGTATGGCATAATGGTTATCATCTATTTCCAGGAAAGTACACAGAAGAGCAATCAACCAAATCATTACCAGATTTCTTTTGATCGTTATATTTGTTAATGGCATATTTGATTTCATACTGCATGTCTTTAAGGTGGTACTATTGGCCCTAATTGCTAATAGGGCCATATGATATGGTGACTGCACAATTTACTGAAAAAAAAAACTAAAAGGGGGCACCTTTGCTTGAAAATAGGGCAGAAAACATGTGATATCACAACTATTGAAGCTAGGATACTGAATATATCACAAGTCTTATAATAAAGGGTTCCTGGGAATACCACAGCCTGACTTCAATAGTCTTTATGTCAGGAACTTCTCAACAGTTTAAAATAAAGTATTAGGAGATACTTTCACAACTGCTTGATACTTCAGAGACATATCTTATGCCCTGGCCTTCTTTCTTGATTTTATGTGTTTCCACAGAACTCTTACTTTGTTATGTAGATACTTAAGCAGTCCTCACAAGACAATTACTTCATTCTTCCCGAGTTTCAACATTCATCTTTGGGCTCTCTTTCTTCATACACCAGATATCAAAATATAACTACTTTCAATAATAATTCCTTGATTCAGACTACTTTTTATTTCATTAAATCAAGGGCACAGAAAGTCAACAAGCATTTCCCATTACATGGGAGCTGCAGAGCAGATTTATCCAGTTAAGTTTTCTTCTATTTCTATGATTAGCTCTTCAAAATGTTAACCACACTGAGCTTTGGTTGGATTGAGAAGCACTATTTTACACTTAGTCAAATGAAAAAGGTCAACAGCGGCAATTCTGGGATCAATTCACAATGGCTACAATATCATTATTCCCAAGGCATCATGGTCATATAAATGGATTGACCTTACTTTTATATCATCTGCAAAGGGTATAAGGCCTACATTTGACTTCAGGACTGCCGGCGAGTCACTGACTAACGCCTGAAGCAAAAGCAAAATTGGCGTAAAAAAGGCTCCAGAGGTACTTCTCCACTCTAATTGCATGCCAAGCAGAATCACAGCTTCATTCCTGCCTTGAAGAAACTCCTTGATCCTCGTATAGACTATTATATTAACTGAGTGAGCTGAACCTTTCAAAGAAGCCTTTGAAGGGGGACCGCAACAAAAGTACTTTCAAAACATGAAAATTGCATCGACCGGTAATTTCTCGTGCGTAGGAGAGAGGGGACTGATATGGAGAAGAAATTGCGGTTTAAACTCAACAGGTGCAGTCATAAGCGGGTCCGACGGGCTTGGCCATCCCAATTCTGTCTCACTTGACTCGAATTGCGCGAACATTCTTTCAAAATGCTTACATTTGAAAGGAGGGAAAACGAGCTCTCACCGTGAAAGCGGCCATGTTCCACGATTCTCCGACTTTTTTTCAATGTGGCTGCCCGCATTCAGCCTCGCCACCGTCTCGCAGCCGCTGGCGCGGGCTCCCAGTTCGGGTCTAGGAGTCGTTCATGAAGCACTGCTTCAAGATCTCTTTGCTGACGCAATGTATAGCATTTTGTACTGTTCTCATGCTTGTGGAGGTTTTCACGGGCCGGCAGGAACCAAAATCAGATTCATGACGTTCGGTTGACGTAACGTTAGCTCCCCGTTATATGTTAACTAGAGACCCGTCGACATCGGTTCGGCCTCTGATGATTTGCAACGAATGTGCACGTTATACCTGTTATTTCTATGCTGCTTGCCTGGAGATACGGGCATATCTCCCATGGAAGAAAGACACACCTTTAGAGTGTATGTTGGAGGTGGTACACCAGCAAGGCAAAGAAAGTCTAAGGCACGTTAGACTTACTCTTCAGTAATGCCTCAGAAATCCAAAATTTGCATTAAGTAGAGGAGACAAGTGAAGGCTGCAAAAATACTGGAAATGAGCAGCCTGGTCAGCCCTGGACTGTTAAGGTGGAGGCTGATGTTGGATAACCTTATATGAAAACAACTGAATTCAAGGTTATCTCTCGATAGGGCATAATATAGTTTAAGGCAAACCTAATTAACATAGGTGATTAATAGCAAAGTATATTAAAAGGACCACATAAAGCCTCCATAGATTTATGAACATCCAAATATGAGCCTTCAATAAAAACATTTTTTTTCAAGTACAGCTTATTTCCAAGAAAGGTATTTGAATGGCACAGATTTTTCGCCAATGCCTGAAACCAGTATCATTGGAAAAAGTGACCTTGGAAAAGTTTCTCTCTACCTTATGGTTAAGGGTAACCTACCATTTATAGCACTCTGGGTTTGATAAAAGTGTTCCTATATACATTCATACTATTATAACTTATCTTTAGTGGTATGTTTCATGGGTAGTTCCTTTCAGTCAAAGATAGTTCCATGTCCATCCTTTGCAGATCAAGTGGAAAATCATTTACAAGTAGAATTTGTGAACAATGTCTGAAAGGGTCATATGTTTGAAGCGACATTCATCAGAGGATCCTGTCGAGACCCTCCTCTTGACATGTAAAAAGAGGAAATGTGATCCACCAGATATCCAAGGCATATTGAAGTTTGCTGGGACGGTCACAGACAAGTCAGAAGCAAGCTCTGTTGTCTCCACAAAAAGCCCACCACCTGTTGCAGCTCTTGTCGAGCCCAAGGGTCCCCCCGATTCTGACAGAAAGAGGAAAATTCCAGGGTTGAGCAAGAATGTTAAGTTTTGCAAGTTTGAGGGGATGAGCCCATCTTCAAAGTACACAATGTATGATGCTGTGGAGGAACCTCATGCTGTGGAAGAGTCTTCAGATGAGGAGGATGCAGAACTTGCTGAAGCAAAGATAGCATGCAATGATGTTCCAATGGAAACGAAGGCAACTGATCCTTTGCTTGCCATGGAAAAAGAAGCTGAGCAGTATGTGTATGATTTGTACTTCTGGGAGGATTCTAAGAACATTCCTGATGAAATGCTGGAGTCTTCAACAGTTTACCTTCATCCATATGAGGAATCTCCTCTCTTGGGCTCTGGTCATCGATCCCCCACTGGCGATGGGCAGTTTGACGAGGATGAGGATTCCAATGCTGAAGATAACCCCAGAAATGACTACCCAGACACAGAATCTGATTCAAGTGAATACCTACATGCTTATGGTGATGACTTTGATGGTGAAGGTGATTTTGTGCAGCAGATGGAAAACATGTCACTTGGAAAACACCAGCTATCTTCAGATGAAGGTGAAGATGAGCTGCTCTACACAAAAGATGTTGATGAGGACTATATGGGTTCTGCCTATGCCAGGTATAAGGCCCGTGTCCTGCGAGAGTTTGCAAATGAAGTTGTGAGTTCTGCAAGTGAATCTGAGGATGATCTGTGAGAGACTATTTCAAGGTTGTTGAATGTGAAAATGATGCTTTGTATCTTGGCAGAGTTAATGTGAAGAAGTTTCAATAAAGTTGTGGTGCTGATGCAAAATCAGTAGTTTTAGAAAATATTCATTTTATTATCTGACAAGCCAGCCAGCAACTCTCTTGCTGGATGAGAAATCTTCCAAATTGGCATTATTCTATCAAAGTGTAGAACCTTTAATCCCTGTGCCCTTTGTTTATTTATCAGAACCAATACAATATTTTTGGAATAATGTATCACATGCCCAGTCTGATAATCCTTCAGAACTTTTAGAGACTTGAGTTATTAGAAAGCATCTAAACAATGAGTGCCTGACTATTTTTGGATGGGTGTAGAGCAATGCAAGCAAGATAAAGAGGACAGGAGTGGATTAAATGTGGGCAAGGAAAGATGAGTGCATTGGCCAGATCTCATCACCTGCTGAGGCATCGGAGACTGGTCGGAGTCGTTGTCTCTGGACAGCCAAACAGGTCGGTGGCCATGGTTGTCGCTCGCATCCTGCGAGGAGCGCTCAAGATCCGATATCTCATCCTCGGTGGGGCTGTTGGTGGAGGCTATCAACTGCAAAAGGTGACCATGTTGCCCTCATTGAGGGAAAATTTGAAAAGAGACTGAGTATGGTATTAGTTTTGAGTGGTCTGCTGCAGTATGAAGTGAATATGCCTTTTTTGCCATTTGTGCAGACTTATGACAAGTGGAGGGAGTCTGTGCCTGATATGTCATGGATGAAGGAACTGATGCCATCAACAGAGACTGTGGATTCCTTCAGAGCTTCCCTCAGCAATATGGGACAGAAATTTAAGGGAACCATCAGCAGTCTGGATGTTGGTCTGTACTTCAATCATTCTGGGAAAATTTTTTTTGTTTTGATTTGTAAAAATTTTAGAATTATCTGACATGAAATATTGGTGCAGATCCCAAGTGGAGAGAGTTTGGTGATGAGAAATACTCCCAGTTGAAGAAATGGTTTGATCAGCGCCTTGAAGATGCCATAGAAGCAGCAAAGGAAGCAGATGAGGTCCGGGCCAGTGCAGAAAGTATGTCCTCAGTTGATAAAACTGCCAAGTTCTATGTTCATCTTTAAGATATAAATTCTCTGATGAGGGTATTGGTGCCTCTTGTATTTTACTTCTCTGATTCTCAAGTGGAATATGAAACAGATGTGTTCTCAGTGAAGGCGGCCCACAAGGAGGAACAAAGTAAGCCTTGCTCCCCACTGGTCTGTAAAATTCATGACTTGCACATGTACAAAACTCATTGAGTGTGGACTGTAAAGGAGACCCAACTAGAGAGAGACTGGAGAGCCTGGAAGCTGAACTCATGGCAGTCCAACTCAAGTACCAGCGGGAATTGGAGAAAGTGGAGAAGGAGAATCGGGAACTGAGACGGCAGCTTCTCTTGCGGGGCAAGGAGGCCTCTAGCAAGAAACACATCAAGGTATCCTTACATACCTTTCAAATATGAGGTGCATAGATTTGAGGGTGGGACTGATGCTTAGACTGTCTTTGCAGAAATCCTTGATTGACATGTACTCGGAAGTCCTGGATGAGTTGAGTGGTTATGACTCTAACTACAACGTTCAAGATCACCTCCCACGAGTAGTAGTTGTGGGTGATCAGAGTTCTGGCAAGACTTCAGTATTAGAGATGATTGCAGGAGCTAGGATATTCCCCAGGTAAGCATTTTTAATAAATGGATATGATATACCATGCACATAGGTTGTTTCCTTTTTTATCAACAGGTTGATGTTATTTTTGCTATTATCTACTACCAGTTATCTACTAATTGGAAGTAAGGTTTGGTAGAACTGCATTGAATTGACATTGCATATACCAGCCTGATTTGTGAAGTAACTTGACTGTTTAACTGCTCAGGAATAACTTGTTAATATCTTAGGTAACATCCACAGAAAATCTTAATATACATTAAATTGAAAATTGAAAAAAGGAAATTGAAAATGAATACACCAACATTGTATTGACCTTGGCAAAGCTCTAAATGCCTACTGAGATACCAAAAATATTATCAGCACTTCTAATGTGGAAATTCACTTTTGCTATGCTTAATAGAGGAGCAGGAGAGATGATGACCCGAGCTCCAGTCCAAGTGACCCTCAGTGAGGGTCCTTATCATATTGCTCAGTTCAAGGACAGCTCCAGGGAATACGATCTCGCAAAGGAGAGCGACCTGGCTGCTCTTTGTCAAGATGTGGAATACCGGATGCGAAACAGCGTCCGGCCTGGGAAGACCATCAGTAACGAAGTGATCTCGATGACCGTCAAAGGACCTGGGCTACAACGCATGGTCCTTGTTGATCTTCCTGGCATCATCAGTGTAAGCTGGAGAATTTGGCTCTTCTGTTGTTTCTTCTTGTGTTGAAAAGGTTACTTGAACTTACTGTGGAACTTGCAGACGGTAACAACTGAGATGGCTTCTGACACGCGTGAGAACATCCGACAGATCTCCCAGGCCTACATGGCAAACCCAAATGCCATCATTCTCTGCATCCAAGATGGTTCCATAGATGCCGAGAGGAGTAACGTCACAGGTATGTGCCTCAGAATGATTATGTATTGAATGCTCTCAGCTCTCAGATCATGGATCTCTGTCTGTCTTTCAAAGACCTAGTGTCACAGATGGATCCTCAGGGGAAGCGGACAATTTTTGTTCTCACCAAAGTCGACATGGCTGAGGAGAATCTTGCCAGTCCTGACCGAGTAAGTCTGTGCTAAACAATGAGAGACTCCATCTACTTGTTTTCACATCATTCACACAAACCTGTTTAAATTTCAGATAAAGAAGGCACTGAGTGGACTTCTCTTTCCCATGAGAGCACTAGGGTATTTTGCTGTGGTTACTGGGAAAGGGAATCGCAATGACACCATTGAGGAGATCCGATCCCACGAGGAAAAGTTTTTCAAGAGTTCTCAGCTCTTCCGGTAAATTTCCTTTCCCCACTCCCTTGATTAATATTAATATGTCTATAATGCAAAAGTGATGCATGAATTCAGGCATGGGCTGGTGAATTCAACTCAACTGACAACCCGGAACCTGAGCTTTGCAGTATCAGAATGTTTTTGGAAGATGGTGCAGGACACAGTGGAACAGCAGGCTGATGCCTTCAAGGCCACTCGCTTCAACTTGGAAACAGAATGGAAGAACAAATATCCCAGGTCATATTCTTGATCCACAGATACATGCATTACCTGTAGATTTTGAAAAAAAAAAAAAACCTTGATCATGTTTTGACGCTGCAGATTGCGAGAACTAGATCGAGACGAGCTGTTTGACAAAGGTCGAGGAGAGATCTTGGATGATGTTGTGGCTCTGGGCCAAGTTAGTCCCAAGCAATGGGAAGATGCACTGAAGGAAAGGCTATGGTCTCATCTTGCAACTTACGTCTTTGATCAGATCTACCTCCCGGCAGCACAAACTCATGAATCGGGTGAGAAGCTGGGTTTAAATCACGTAATATTCCCTATCTGTTTAAAAATCACCTAAGAAAGTTAATGTCATCGTCACCATCCAGGCACATTCAACACGACAGTAGACATAAAGTTGAAGCAGTGGGCCGACGGTCAGCTGCCGCGAAAGTGCGTGGAACTCGGCTGGCAGACCCTCCAAGACGTTTTCTGGGGTCTCCTCTCCAAGAGCCTGGAAGCCCGGGACCACGACACCATCTTCGATCAGTTGAAGAAGTCCGTCGTTCAGGAGTCGTTCCAGAGGCATCAATGGGAGGATAAGGCCAAGGATATCCTCAGAGTCATCCAGCTGAACGCCCTGGAGGACCGTTCCATCAAGGATAAATCGGATTGGGATGCGGCCATCAAGTTCCTCGATGGCTCGATTCAGCAAAACCTCCAGGTGGTCACAATTTTTCTTCATAGAATAAAACCGAAGATTTCTTTGGAAGAGAGTTACTTACATAAAGAATGAATTTCGGCAATCCACAGAATTATTCTTGTGTCCTGTTTCTTGCAGCCAACTGCTATGCTCCTTCCTGGTTCCATTGTATTGTAATATGTAGAAGTTTAAGTATGATATTCTCTATTGCATGTTCAGAAATCCCTTGACTTTGCACCCCTTCATAGATTTAAAAAAATTTAATTTCAAAAGGGGTATCACAAAATGAAGAAATTTTCTTTTTTCCCTCATACTCTATTATAATTCTAAGTCAGTATGGTACAGTACTATCTGGAGGAGATAAAAGTAGTTATCGATATGGAATATAAGACAGGCTTTTGCTTGAATCATACTATTGCTGCCATTCCCATTCCAGAAATAGGTAAATTATAATAATAAAAATATTGACTGTATTGGTGTAACTTGAATTCAAGCCTTAAAATTTTTTATTGCCTTTCAATCTTGGGCTTCAATTCACATGTCTTGATTTTGGATGGCAACTCAATGGGAAGAAGAGCATGAGAACACTGGAGCCCATTCATCTAGGGATTTATTTTCTTCTTGCCATTAAAAATGAAATTAGTTAATGTTTCTGTTGTCGACAGGTGGTAGAAACAACTGTCAACGATATGGTGGGTCCTGGAATCATGGATCAATGGCTCAAATGGCAGTCTCCTTCCCCCGAACAAAAGCTTCGGTCAGCCATCGGCAAGGAACTGGAGAAACTCCTGAATACTGATGCTGTAGGCACTGATTTCTTTTAAATCGTGAGCCGAGTGGAATCGTTCACAAATCGTGCAATAACATCTCCGATCTGGTCGCGTTGCAGCACCACTCGCCGCACTTATCGTACGAGGAAGTGTCCATGGTGAGGAAGAACCTAGCGACGAGTCAAAGTTTGGAGGTGGACAACGACCTCGTCCGTCAGACGTGGGTTCCCGTCTTCCGGAAACATTTCCTCGGGCTGAGCCTCAAGAACGTGGGCGACTGTCGTCGGAGCTTTTACCAGTATCAACACGGCCTAGAATCCGAGGTATTCTTTTTTGCCCCCCTGCCGGCACGATCTCGACGACCCGACTCGATGTGCCGATCCTCTCCAGGTGGACTGCAATGCGGTGGTGCTATTTTGGCGGATCCAGCAGATGCTGCAGGTGACGGCCAATTCCCTGCGTCAGCAGATCATGAATCGCGAAGGTTCTCCCCTCCCTCCGACTCTCCTGCCTCCTCCGACGAAAGTGAGAAACGGAATCTAACGACATTCCACCATTTGTTTCCCGACGGCAGCCAGGCGCTTGGAGCGAGAGGTCAAGTCGGTCCTGGAGGACTTCAGCCAGGATTGCGACAAGAAGAAAGAGCTTCTGACCGGGCGAAGGGTCCAGCTTGCCGAGGAACTCAGTGAGAAAAACCTCCCCGTTCGACCTTTCGACTTTCCCCGCGTCGTCGCGTGCTAATTGTCTTTGCCTTCCAGAGCGAGTCCGCGAGATTCAAGAGAGGCTGGAGGAATTCATCAACGCTTTGAGCTCCGAGAAGTAAAATCGTCGCCGTGCCTTGTGATTCATTCCCTCTAAAGAGATTTTTTCTTTCAAATAAATTGTTACTAGTCACTCTGCTCGTTTCTGATGTCGTTCTGGCGGCTGCTGCTGCTTTCGGATAACGATTCGTGAAAGGGAGCGCAAAACTTTCACGTCGAACGGATAATTTTCCAGAACCGAACAGACGAGATTCCATAATACAGCATGCTAATAAGTTTTAAAGTCTGCTTGCAAGTTCTCGACGGTTCGCACGGATGGACTCAGATGATCCAAAGACCGTGGTGCCCCGTGGTGACCAACGCACCCAGGCTTCTGCAACCGCGACGAACGCGAGTTCAGCCGAAGAGTTTTTTCCACGTCGGATCGGTCGTCGATCGCCACGATCGGGATCGAGATAACCGGACCCTGTCGTGCTGGATCCCGACCTATCGGGTCGGCCGTGTCGTATTTTCGGCACCGAACGACCTAGGCAACCGATTTGAGGAAATTGGGACCGGGAGAGTCGACCGAGAGACGACCGGTGACGACACCCGGGGGTAAGGTGCGAGAACTCGCGGCTAGCAAACGATTAGATGTTGGTCGGTACGGGATCGACCTGGAGGAATTCGAAGAGTTTCATCGTCCGGCATGACAGATGGACCGATTGAAGTGGATTAGATCCGACTGTCGTTGCCCGAGCGGGAGTGAAGATACTCGTTAGCCAACGGCTGACTTTTCGAATGGAAATCGATTTCCGCCTCGTTCGGGAAAAAAAAGGGGGTTTTTTCGTCTGCCGTTCTTACTGACGGATCGAACGAGCCGAATTTCAAAACGCCAGTTGCGAAAGGCGACCCCAATGGGAACGGCTCAACGTTACGACGACCGCAGATGCGTCCGAGCGAGTGGGACGAGCCGACTCTTCCTCGAAAACGCGTTGGGTTTCATTGGGAAATTTCCCGAGTTCTTATTACGACTTTGAATTTTTGCAACGACGACCACGAAATTTTAGGTGAGTTATACATCATACCTAGTAGGACAATTTATTTCAAAGGGGGACATATTATTCATAAAATCTTGTCCCCCGGACAAGATTTTACTAAATTTTTCGTCACACCGGTCCGACTCCACATGTACTGCGGCCGGAATGAAACCGAGCCCCGAAGCGCAGGTTATGGTCCTCTCGAGAAAGGTACATTACGCCTTAAGAGGGCCCTACTGGAACGGGGGAAGGTTAACGCCTTAAATGTCTCGATTCCAGTAGCCACTGAGATTTCATGTTTAAATGGAGCTCTCCAGTTAGTGTACTGGCGTACTAAACTTATAAGCGCCCATCGCGTGTTTATTGCGCCGAAAGCAATCAGTTAATAAGGCGATGCCACAGACACGTGTCAACAACGCATAATGGGTTACGTACCTCCGCGTCTGGTTCTCGGGTGAGGCTCCTGCGTGTCCCCCGAGAAACTCTCGAAACGGGCCTCAGTCTAAAATTACCGGCAGACCGACGTCGTGAAGCTTTGGGGCAAGAAGCTCGATGTTGCATCAAGAGAACAATGGACGTACCTTTGCCTGCTCGAGTCGCACGACTCCCAAGTTCTGATAAATGGGTATCGAAAATTGAAAATGGATGAATCTTATTGCAATACGGCATGTAGCTCCTTTCAATAGCAATACTGAAATAACAGCTCATGGTACATCGAAGAAAGTCTTGCCCTGTTTTTGAGTCCAACGACCTTGATTTCTTCAATCAGGTCATCCCTTACCCTCACCAAAGTAGTCACAGACGAATGGCAATATGATGTTCCATGAAAGCACACCAGTTATATTTTTCTGCAATAAAATGAACCACAAATTCATACCAGAAATAATTCCTGCTGACATTGCTTTCATTCTTGAGACTCGATCCATCGAACAACCAAAGACAAACGAAAAAAAAAAGACCGACAGGAAAAAATTCATCACAGAAGTCACGTGTGGCATCATGTCGGTCCGGTCTGACACATTACGAAACACAATTCACAATTCTGGAAAACACCATTGAAATCCTAGGTCCTAGGCTGGCATGTCTGAGGTCACTTGCGATGCCGTTCCTTGGGGCGGCTGTGATGATCGTCGATGCTATTATGATGGTGATGACGGTGATGCTTCGACAAGGATCCGTGTCGTCCGTCGTAACTAGGAGAACGCGAGTGGGAATGCTTGCGGGTCTTGCTTTTGCTCTTCTTGTATTTCGCCTTCTCTCCTTTGTCCCTGCCGTGAAAACATTTTCTCATAACGGCATTGCGATAAATAAAGATTTTTTAAATTTCCCATCAACTGAAGCGATTTTGCTCCCAGTGCAAGGAAGACCAAGAAACTGACTTGTGAGATTTTCTATGCCTCGACAAAGGAGGCGAAAGGGAAAGGGAGCTGAGACTGCGGCTCCGGCTCCTTCTACGGGCATGCCTTTTGCCGGACTGCCGAGAATTAGACGCTTCGCGTCTCCTCTTCCTTCTTTCGTCATCTTCCGAAGCTTCCCTAGATCCACTGCTGGAATAATTCAAAGCGAGATATGATAATCGCGAGGGATCGGATGAGTCAATTCATCGTGCAACGAATGGATCCACGAGATACCTCGAGTGCGAATGCTTCCTGCGTCTCTTGGCCTTCCTGGGCGATCCACTACGGCTATGGGACCGACTTCGCGAGGGAGTCTCACTCCTTTTGGTCCCTCGCTTTACGTGATTGTTGTCCTCCTTCCCCTTCTCTTTCTCTCTGAAACCAAGCACAGGAAGTCAAAAGAGATTAAATTACGAAGCGAGACGTTCGAGGCACCATCACCGAGTAGCTCACCTGTTAGAAGAATCGCCATTGACTTGAGGTTCAGGGTCTGAAGGGGGAGGGAGACCTCCCTCAGGCACCTTCTTTGGCATGGTAGGAACTGCCGAACTTGGCCTCACTGGCGACGCAGGCCGTGAATGGGGACTGAATCCTCCAGCTCCCAGTGGAGTGAGGCCACTCCTCTCCTTGAATTTTGCTTCCTGATGGGCCTTCCGAAGGTCCTCCACGATCCTCTCCAGTCGATCAACGTCAGGCTAAAAGAGCAAAACGATGAGTGACATTCGCGAAATCTCGGTATCTCATCGAATACGCATAAGTCTCAACGAACCACCAACCTTCGTCATTTTGTACAAACTGAGTATGTTAAGGGAAATGTCCTGGATGTCAGACTCCTTAGCATGAAAGATATGGAACCAAGGTGGGTTGCGGGGTAGGGGCAGTCTCATCATGCGAGCGGCGAGGTAGATGCATGCGCAGGCAATCGTCTCCGGCGTGTAGCGCACGAACAAATCCGACCGCAGCGAATCGTTCATGTAGTTCCTAGCCACCCGATGGTTTCGAGGGAGAGATGTTTTACGTTAGGGAGACACTTAAACCTAATAGGTTTACTTAGTCCTAGCATCAAGAAGTCCTCTCTGGATGTCTCGAAGATGATGTTGGAGTAAGTTATCTAGGTTACCATGTATCCAATTTCTAATGATACAATTTGAATAGATATAGTCAATGGACTAACTCCCATCCCTGCCCTGCAGAGGCAGCCTAGAGCTTACCCAACACTACCTTCAAGGAGACCTGAACTGAACGTAACTCTGGTTCAAATCGGACCATTAAATTTTAGGCCTAGGCTTCGCAAACTCGAGTCCAACGGGTGGGGAGGCACCACAGGAGTCCTCTCAAGCGGGGTCCACAAGTTCTGTCTCACACACACGACCGAGTGAGTCTGCCCCATCACTGGACACGTCCCATCGGGTCAAACTGTCATCTTCTGCAAGCAAAGGCTTCCATCCAATCCCTTTTCACTGGCACATCAATGAGAAAGGCTTTTAACAAGTTGGGTCCTCTGCATCCTGGTCATCCACCTACTTACCTGTCTGTTCTAGGGAATCTCCCCAAATTTAATAATCAATTCTACTCTGGCTCACAGGTTCTCTCACACATGAGTTCACAATTCCAAGTCCAAATTTCAAGAGAAATTGCTCAAATATTAAAAGAGGAAGAGGGCGATGACGGCGAAACGAGAGTCGGGACGGAAGAGAGATGGAAGTAGTCGGACCTCCTCCAGAGCCCCAGCCAAGGGTCTCTCTTGCCAATGCTCCCTTCTTGGCTCCCGTGTACGAAGATGGGGGGAAAACCGTTCAGCCCCACGGTAGGAGAGCGTGCTTTTTGGCTGTCAGGCCTTCACCTAAGCCGCTGGATTAGGTGAAAACCAAAACATCTGAGTCAGACTTTGCTTGCCATACAAGGCCACAAACAAAAGTCACTTTCAATTCAAGTCATCTTCCAGAGAGGCAGCATGTTCTATTTCAGCCATTCAACACTGAATCACTCTTGTGAAGACCCAAAGTTTACCCTCATGCTATAAGGATCCATGAAAAGCAGAAAAGAAACCACCTGATCCCAGGCCATCTGGCAACAACTTACTTGGAAAAATGAATATAAGTAATGTCCTCACACAGCACCCATCTCAGCTTTCTATTTATTACTTTCGTTTCTGCAACAGCTCACTTAATCTCTGTCCTGAGCTAAGAACTTAGATTTCTCATCAAGGACTGCAAAATCTCAAGACCAAAATAAAGTTCAGAGTGTTTGTTCAGTGCAATTAAAAGTGCTTGACTCAATGATGACAGCAACATATCCCAAGCTGAGACTCACTCTTTGAAACAAGAATCACCTCCCACTGCCTCCTTCCATACAGTACCTAAATTGAAGCCTATCTCCAGCAGCTGGAAAAGCTGATCCATGCTCCAAGCCAAAATTTGGTCATTTTTGCTTGAATCACCATTTTGAAAAAGCACTCACAGGGAGAGCAACCCCCAAGTCCATGAGAGAAAATTTCTGATCCACTTTTCTTTTTTTTTTACTCAAAATGTTCAATGAATCCTCTTCTTTATTTTGAAAATTAGAGGATTCATTCATTTGGAAGTTCCATTTTCCAAGACAAGAAGGAAAGATACCTCAATAATGTAATTCAATCCAAGCATAAGTGAATAGGAATTTAAAACAGTCAAGCAAACCAGCCTTTTGTCCTATGTGGAATCACATCCTATATCAGCAAAGACAGAGGAAGTGATTCTACAACAACCAGAGAAAAGAAACTGTTCAACTCACCATGCAATTTGCATGAGGCGCTCATTCTTCTCACATTCCAGGACTTGAAGGTACATCACTATAATCTGAATATAAAACCAACAAAGAAATATGTTATTCCATATCACAATCAAAAGATGAAGCCACTATTCCTTCTCCCCATGTTTTGACTCATAGGACCTAACTGAGGGAAGAGAGTGGGCAAAGCTGTCATGGCACTGACAGAGTACTACTACCAAAAAGGAAATGAGTCTTCAGTGAGAAGAGCTACTAGTGAATCTTGATATCCACAGCAGCCCAAGGGGTTAGGCCTAACACTAGGAGTAGCAGAAATGCACTACAAGAGATACTGAATTCAGCCTGGGTTCACTCCAATGAATTTTTGTTACATTTACAGGTTAGCATTTACTTTGAGTTTGAAAACGTACTAGAAATTGAGCTTAGGTTTGATTCTGGCTCACCTCTTCAGGTTTTGGTTCATTGAAAGTCACTGAAACTGTAAAGAATATGATACACACTGCACTTAGAAGGTTAACTGATGAAATAAGTCTAACTGCATAAATGAGACATTCTGCAGTCACATTCTGGGGAGCCACTCTTACCAGTCCAGTGCACTGACTCCATGCTCCATAGAATTTTTCCTCATGAGAGTTCTGAGCCTAGTGAGCAATGTAAGCTCACTTCTTGCCTTTAAATAAGTTTAAATTACTTCAGGTTTGCAGAGATGAGGCTAACTTTTGGTTTTCATTTGCCAGCTGAAAATCTAATGTTTTCATTCAGATTGGGCTTATGATGGGGATAAATGTAAGTGGGAACAGCATTCCCATATGCTCTTCAAGAGAGAGTGGGACCACTTTGCATATTTTTTGAAGGCTCCTGTAATACATAACTATATGCTCTGGTATATTACGAATGTTGAGAGAGGGTCACAGGGACTTTGCATTTATTGGACATCCCTACCCTGGATTTTGTTGTCAAGGCAGGTTCATTCTAGGTCCTTCAATATCATGCCACAAACATTTAGGATGAATTCTTTATTTCTAACCCAGTTGATTTGTAAATTTCATATAGGGACCACTTGGCTGGAAAAGTTGGATTATGCCATCTGCTATTCAGGGAAATCATAACTCATTAAGGATGAAAATAATTTTTTGCCATAAAGGCACACTTATTTTCAACTGATTCACACTCAAGCCACAACATCATTGAATTCCCTAAAATGTGCCACACTTAAACTTTATATGGCATATAAAGCTAGGGAGAGAAAAAAGAAAGGACTCTGTGCAACAAACCAGAGACCCTGGAGGTCTACCTGGAAGCAACCAGATAAACCTCCAGGGATGCACCTGGGCAGTCAGCTTGCTGCATTGCAGTGCACAACAGCAAACATTTTGAAAATAATGCATCATAACTGGATCAACTACTTCTAATTTTGGATAGCTGTGAGGAGTAGAGAGTAGGAACCTTATGATGGTCTGAGTGTGGTATAGATGTCTTGTGCTGGAGATGGGATGAAAAAAAAAAAGTTAAGAGCCCTCAAGTCTTTCTCAAAGAGACATAAGGTGCAAGCTTTGTCCATCTATAGAATATCCAAGTCAATATAATTTTATCAATTTGTCTCAGCCCTATTCATAAGAAAAATAGGCCATGCAGTCAGGAGTTGACAACTTCTGTTGAATGGTAGTACTACTGTGAACAGACATGGAAAAAAGAAGAGAAGCATGGAGCATCGAAATGAATACAACAGTGTCCTGGATGTAACTTCTTTGGCTGCCATGGATATTATGAGTTTGCTCTCATGGCTCTCTCATCTCAAAAAGATACCAAGGCAATATGCCATGGCACAGGATATATCCCTAAACACTGGTGAAAAATTGCACCCCTATTTTCATAAAGCATGATTAAGCCAACCCCACTCCAGAACTTAACTTTCAAAGCCTCAAAATGAGTGATGGGCTTTAAAATAATGATTTAAAAAAAGGGCAAGAATGAAGATGTTCTTACCTTGTGGGGATGTTTCACATGAACACAAAAGCCCAATTCCTTCAGAATTCTTCTCTCTGCTTTGATGACCTGATTTTTCAGGTTTATGTAGTTCCCATCCAAAATCACTGGATTGATGGTCCTGGTTGAAATTGAATTTTCATCCTTTAAGACTCCAGCATGTGTCATGCAACACAAAAGGTCTAGACTTACTTAAAAATGCAAATGGTCAAAATGATACCTTGAAATTTAACAAAGGCCAAAAGTAAAATTGCCAAAGGCATAGTTACCTTCCACTGCGAACTTGGCGAATATGATGAAAGACATTGATGACATCACGTGTTCTTCTTGGGGCCTCCTCTATTTTGGATGCAAGACAGACACAAGCCATAGCAGTCGTTTCCATGGGATGTCGTACAAAAGACTTTGAGTAGTAAAAGCGGTGAAAAAGGACTTGACCCGTAGCCATTGCCACCTGTGAAAGGTCAACCATATATTCAACAGATATGTGAATTTGTCTCTTATCCTCTCCATGGACTAAGTTATTAACACAGATTCTTTGAACTCTAGAGGTTGAAAATGAAAAGTCCAAACTCTTGGTGGATAAGGCAAGCTTCTTGGATTCATGACCATCATGGTGGCTTTTGATTGTACTCTTATTCTAGTGCCTGAGGTTTATGGGGTAAGGTACCATTCCCCTAGCATTTACATCTAAATGCCTATGAATTAATGAATTTATTTCCCATGAGCTAGGACTCAGGTCACACTGTTTCAAAAGGTCTGCCTTCTCCAAGAGCTTAATCAACAGCTTAACTTTAGAATCTGTTACCATGCCCAGGCTTTTAGAAGCCTTGCAGAAGTGAGGTTCTTTTAATGTTACATCAAATCATTAGCCTTCCTAACTGCTCCAATTTTTGTTCATAGGAATGAAAACAGGCAAATTTGGAAGGGGATCAAACCTACAATGTTTAGCAATGATTTTCAAATGATTAGCCATTGGGCTACCCACCCCCAATCACAGGATAGGGGCAAGCGGTAAGAACATGAAGAGATTGCCTTGAATACAGTCACAATTTGTGATGGGGCCAAGCCTAAAGAGAGAATGTAGCATCTTTCCATTGGCAAGGTAAATTGAACTATTTCCGTGACTTCTAAAAGACCACCACTTGGGGTTTGCATGGTAGATGTACATTCATTAGTTTCTGGAGTGAATGCATTTAGATCAAAGACACTTGACTAAGATGAGTCATGAGCTATTAGGGTCAGGGTTGAACATGAAGGTTACCTACAAACAGGTTGGGCCATAAGGTTACGTTGACATAAGTGGGTTCCATGGCGATGACAATTACCATGTTTATTTAAAATCCCCAACCATCATCCCCCAGCCATAATAACGTTAAAGTTGTTCATCAGGACTGCCTGAAGGACAGGATATACCAGGGAAGGGAGTCATGAAACTTGATGCAGTTAGGCCTAACGTTAGAAGCGTAAGATCTCGTTATTACGCCTTACTTGGACTTGGGGTTTATGCCAACACCCTTACTCCAAAACTGACATCAGACCACATTACAAGTTAAACTACTCTCTATTACGGCACTGCAAATGTTCGTGGGTCTACGTTAGACCTACCTGAGGAAGTTTGAGGAGAATGCCCGATGTTTGAATGAGTTCGCATCCGACATATCGCAACGCCTTTTCCGTCGTCAGGTCCAACCCATCCAATACGGACGGAGTTGGGGACAACTTCTCTTCGGGCAGGAGGCAGTTTTCGAGTGTGAGAATGATCTTTCCATACGTTCTCTGCGTCGTGACGGGAACAGGTTCAGTTGGAGCGGAGCCCGCAGCAGTTGACGTCTCACTTGCGACAGCCATTTTACTCAGTCACGAACTGTGACGTCAGAGTCATGGCTTCTTCGACATTTCAATCTTTTGTTCTGCGAGAATCGGTATGTGATATTTATTTTTTTTCTCTCTCTTTCGCCAAGAATTTCGATGACTATTTATTTTTGGATTACATCCTCATAGTGATATGCGTGTGGGGCGTTCAAGTGTTATGAGACGAGTGACTGAATGAATTTGAAGTTACCAACGTACCAGGCAACGCAAAAGTGACTCATGCATGAATGTGCAAGAAAAACATTATAGAGCTTTTACGGTAATAAACATTTTGCTTACAGTTATTAGATGATGTCATGGGCAAAAATACAAAGGAAAGCTGTGAGGACAGGCGCATTCGGAGACTAGCTGCTCAATAGCATGCGTCGCCAGAGGAAGATGTCGAAATGTGTGGAATCCAGAATCGAATAATTTCCTTTGTTCAAAAGTTGAAAATTTGTTTATTGCATTCGATGACGGCAAAGAAGGAGATCCAACAGTCGCTAAAAAAAAAAAGCAAATATCTGAACTTGTTGGCGGAAGCGGAACGAATTCCACGAGACTCTTCCATTCCTCAGAGCCGACGGACGGAGATCGCAGCCTCGCCGCGAGGACGATCAGAGCCGCGAGTCGCTGAATCCCTTCCGCGCCTCGTCGTCGTCGTCGAATACGCTCGGGCGGACGGCGAAGTTCGTTTCCCCGTCGAACTCCGACGCCATGGACGCGCGGGAGGGGTTTGCCTTCAGCCCTGCCGTCCCCGTCGCGAACGGGTCCTTTAAATAAGTGAATAAAGGACCGCGTGAGAAACCAAGGTCTCCCCGATTCCTCTCATTTTTAAGGAAAAACGCGATGAAAGCGCGAGGCTTTGGAACCCTCGCGCGAGCCCGTCGTTTCATCGACGGAGGCTGCTCGTGAAGACGAGTTTCATTTGCATCTTTCATCTCTTTCCGGATTTCCCCGTAGAAAAGTCGTGGGTGACCTCTCGGGCGTCTCGAAAACCGTATTTCTCTGGGGAAATCCGCAGAGAAATACGGTTTTCGATCGAAGCTTGCACTCCCCGGTTTTGGGACGAATTCGATCGATGAGCACTGGAGTAGAAATCGATTAGCTCAGAAGATCGGTATTAGCTAAGTGTAAACTTTCAGAGCTTAATTTTTTTTCCATTCAATAACCGTTTCGTTTCGCATTCCGTCGATTCTCACCACAAAATCTTGAACTGCACCAAAAAACCGGCGCACCCGGTGAGTTCCCTCTTGCAGCAGATTTGAGAAAGCAAGCACATTTGGAGACGGGGCAAAGCCCGGTCCATTAGAGAGCTTCCAGGTACATCATCGGTGCAATCAAACTAAGACCTGGATAATGCTAAGAGCAAAGGACAGATTGGGTTTAAGAAAGGGGGGGGGGAGGAAGGGGAGCGGTTTATCGTAGGAGCTCCCCGTTCCCGTTTCAAATTTATTTTATAAGTTATTTTGTTACATACCGCTCAAAAATAGTTAAGGGCCTTGGCAACAATTTCATGTATCAGCCTTTTACGCGAAAATATTGAAGATGTCGAGGAAGAACGTCAGAAACAGTCGGATCTTAACCAGGCTCAGACAAACTCAAACCCTGACATAAACTCCGCCCCCCCCCCCCCCCCCCCTCACCCCCCNCCCCCCCCCCCCCCCCCCCCCCCCCCCCCCCCCCCCCCCTCACCCTCTCAACACATAATTGAATGGCAAGAAGTTCGATCCACCTTATTCGAGCGAATATATCCAATCGTCTCAAAACGCGAAGGGACGATGCGTGCATTTACGTCTCGAGCGGCCCAGATCCGAGAACCGCCTTTGGAAAATTGCGGATTGTGTGCTTTACAGGATCGGAATCCCCCTCGCCGACCGGATTTCTCCTCCGTCGACAGGTGTTCCGGCCGCGTTCCCCGTCCTCATCTGGAGGGATAATGGATCCGTGATCCATTACATGTCCCTTCGATGGTCCTCCGATGGTCCTTTGAGAGGGAATTCCCTCTCGGGAATTTTGTCTTCGATGATTTGGGGGGGATTCGTTCCAGATGCTCGCGGATTTACGAGGGAAACGTTCCGCCGTCGTCGAACGTCATCGAGGCCCGACGATCGCTTCACCGTTTTACTTTCAACTTCTCAAATTTGATTCGTGCTTCGGCGACTCGGTTCCGGTTCGGTTTCGGCTCGGGAATGTCGATCAGAAGTGGCTCGGCGAGAGCGATTACATTTTTTTTTTGTTCGAAGTTCCCCACTCGGTCGATCATGGTTTTCGTTTTTCTTCCCAACGAAACCGAAACAAAAAAAAAGAGGAAAAAACAGCTCAAAATTCCTTAACACCTTCGTAACGTCATGATTATTGCTGCGGCAAGGCGCGAAGCGAAAGCAGAAGTAAACGTATAGGAACGTACCATAATATCCAAACGGCCCAAAGTTAAAATTTCGTTCCTTTTCGTATTTTTTAATTATAATTTCACCTTTTCGGCAAGCAAAGCGGTGGACTCACGTAATCGTCTCCGATGTCGAGCCCCATCCTCAACACCCAACTCTCCGGAAGCCACCTCCTCAACTGACGAAAGACCGGCGAGACGAGCCTGGGATCGAGCTTCCTCGGCTCCTGCATCCCCGTCGCCAAGCTGACAAACAGCCCGATCGCGATCACGCTCCAGCACCCGACCGTCGAGTACCACAGATACGACAGCCGGTAGAGCCCCAGCGGCTCCGGCGAAAGCGTGGAGGCAGCCTCGACCTCCGTCGCGTTGAGCAGCGGGCAGCCATCGACCGACATCGGCTTGAGGGGGAAGCTGATTCTGCCCTGGGACGTCGCCACGTTCGCGCCCGCTCCGATCCAGAAGCTCAACGCGAATCCCGCGATCCCTCCGACCAAAGATCCCTGCACGGAAACGAGAAAGGGAATCGATTTGCGTCCGGAAACGAATCGAAAACGACGGATATCACGCCAACGGGGCGAGATTAAAGCACGACGGCTCCCTAATTGATCTGTTTTCGTTCTACAATTCCTCACGATAATCAATTTTAAAGGTGACCAACTTTTCACTCCGCCCCAAATGGAATTACGAGAACGGAACGCTCGCCTTGTTGTTGGCCCATGGGAAGAACATGCCGAGAGTGAAAATGCCCAGGAGAGGCCCCCCGATCATCCCGAAGATGCTCAGTGCCGCCTGCAAACAACCCCACATGTAACTGCACACCACACACACGGTACCTCGCAGCACCTCGCAGTACCGAGCCCGAGACCTACGGTGAGCACGCTGGTCCCGAACTTCTCGACGACGAAAACGAGCCCGAAGGAAACGAAGCCATAAGCCAGCGCTATCGCCTTGGACGCATTCGTCGCCTGCCTGTCCGACATCCCCTTGAAGCAAAACGGACGCACGAAGTCCTCCAACGTGATGGCCGCCAGGGAATTCAGACCCGATGACACCGTGCTGTCGCCAAAAAAAAAAAGCGAATGATTTTCAAGTTTTTTAAAAGTCTTTGCACGTTCAAAACTTCGAACGTGGACCTCGGTGGATTCATCTCTCTTTCGCCCCCACTTGAAAAAAGTAGGGCTGTCGATCGATTAAAAAAGTTAATCGATTAATCGGTCGATTAATCGATTTAAAAAAGTAATCGATTAATCGGTCGATTAATCGAATTTGAATCCATCCCTTAGTTTCTCCTCGAATCATGTCCAAGGCGTTGGGAATGATTCTGCTTCTGTCACGCCCAACACCTAAGCGAGCCTCAGGAAGTGACTCGTGGCGATGCAGTCGCTAACGTAGTCGTTACTATCGCAGTCGTTACTATCCATACGTACATGAGTTCGACCTACAAGTGACACATTCCAGTCGGAAGGAAAATAGTTACAACTTAGCCAGATAAATAATGAAACGTAAGGAAAGAAGCGTTCCGAGGCCCTTCGCCATTTAGCCAACCCATGCCGGAAGGACGCAAAAATGTGACCTAAATGATTGGACGTATACGGTGACGCTTCGTTACGCAGAGATTTAAAGATTCATTAACGATTTACGGGCAACGCAGGACGAAAGAGCAAAAATTGGAGCAAACAAGGAAAAGGAGAGGGGTTTGCACTTTCGTTTCCACTTCTCTCTCCTGCCCCTAGCTTTCCCCCTCTCATCGGTTACTTTCCCCATTCGCGTCCTGGGGCTTTTCGGTCGCTCGGCCCCCGGTCGCCGTCACCTTAGCCTGACGCGCGGGGCCTGCAAGGCCGTGCCTTTAAAAGCCGGAGGCTCGGCAGGAAGACACCGGATGCGTCCTGATACGCTCCCGGACGAAAAGGGGTCAGGAAGCCATTTTTTAAATATAAATGGTCCGAAAGCGATGGCTTTGTTTTTGTGCGTTCCCTTTCCCCCCAAAATAGCATGTCGTTTTCGAGGAAGAGTGAGCAGTGCGAAAACGGATACCTTCTATGTGCCATCGTTTTATCGAGTTATTTCATTCCCTTGATAAAGCATTCGTTTCCGGTCGTTTTGCAGAACTATGAACTGCTCAGTAAAATTATAAGGGGAAAAAGAGGCATTCGGGGGGAGATTAAGATTCGACTAATTTCGACTAATATTTTAAATCGCGATTAATACTTTAATCAATTAATCTAATCGAATTGACATCCCTAGAAAAAAAAAAAATATATATATATATTTAAGTGATCTCTCCTCCAAGTCCACGCCGATATCATCTGCGGCTTATAACGGCTCCAACTCTCCCTTTCGCGACGGTTCCTCTCGGGTGGAAGCGGACCTGATAAACGGAAAAGCTCTCGGTCGGACCGCGAATGTTTGCGTTCCGCCTCCTGCACGGGGACCTCCCGCTATCGCCGGCTGGGCAAACTTCCATTCCTCTTCCCGTTTCCCCTTTCCTCGGGTTTTTTATTATTTATTTTCTCCTCGGGGAGGCGAGCCGCGTTCGCTCGATGACGTCGCGCGGCTTTTGTGGCTCGGGCGACGGCCCGACTCGTTCGGGTCTCTGGGGAATTCGTCTTTCCGTCGGCTTCTTCCGTCGCCTTCCAGGAATCGTTGGCGGTCGACGAGCGACGCCGAATGCGTGCGAGAAGCGTTTGCACGAAATGGATTCTGCCGGCTCTCGTTTGTCTGAGTGAAGCACGGTGCTCGATCGAACTTCATTCATCATTAACGATGTAACTAATTACTTTCCGAGGTAACGACCGCTCGCAGGTATTCAATTGCAAAAAATATCGAATTATTATTTTTTTTTGTAACCCAGTTATGCCTGGCGTCCTATAAGTAGGACGGTGTGCCGAAACGCACATGAAAAATTCTCTAAAGGTTCCACATGTCAGATGTGTGATTCAGAATTGTAGAGTTTCGACCGATTTCCCGATTCCTGCTTCTTAGTTTCATAACTTAGCTACATCGATTCGGTCGCACTGGTCACGAGAAGGAGTCTAAAGATGTCATTAAATACAAATTTTCAGGTTTTGAAGTTACAAAAAATCCCAATCCCAAATCCAATCCCAAGAGTAACCGTTCGAGTTCACCGCGGTCACGCAAGGAGAAACCCGGTGACCTGAGGGCTCCGGAGAAGATGCCAGCGACGAAGACACCCGGGAGACCCGGCAGATGCCCCAGAGTGTCCATGACGAAGAGGGGAAACAGCTGATCGGAGGAGGACACGATCCCGGCCTTCAGCGGGTCGCAGTCGTGATACTTGGAGTATATGACCAACCCCGCCAGGGACAGAAGCGCCAGCAGCAGCAGGAGGCCAACCAGGTTCAGCCATAGGGCGCTGCGGGATTTAAAATGAAACTTTTAGCCTCTGGTCGCTCGTCGGAGGAACTCGCTTGTGCGCTCTTACACTTTCAGTCCCGGGAATTCGAATGCTTGTACCCGCCACGTGACGGGTATGGGAGTGAAAGTGTTAGACACGTTATTGAGGTTAGTACTGGAAAATTGCACTGCGATTCGTCTCATTCGCATGCCAATGCATTCCACAGCATGATTCTTTTATTCCTGATTTGTTGGATTCCATGCTTCTCGTTTTCGGTCTAAGGGATTCACTGTGCTCTGTGCACACTTCTAATTACAGCTAAGCAAACGGCCCATTGTGAAGAAATTTCATTGCGTTACTCAGAAGGTGCTCGGTTTCCCGATGCCCCATGTGTTGTATACGAATAATGTGGCTTTCGACGAAGGCGAGAGTTTGGAGCCAAGCGGGGAGGAATGAGTTTCACCGAGTTCAAAATGACCCCAAAATCCCGGTTTGGAAAGGCATGAAAACGCTGAATCCTCGTTGGGACTACCTGGGAATGGAGGCGCTAAGAATTGCTGAAGGACCCCGACCTGGATCGGGGAAGGACCTCGACCTGGATCGGGGAAGGACCCTGACCTGGATCGGGGACGGGCCGTGACCTACCATGTCCTTTCCGCTGATCCCGATGTCCACAAACTGACTAAGAAGTCCATTCCCAAGGAGCCTGGCTCTTTCTTTCGTCTCCGATCCCGGTCCGATCGCCAACGAGTTTTCCGTCAGGTTTTCCCACGACGGCAAAAGTTATGGGGCATCGATCCAGAGTCGAGTGAACCCCAAAAATTCCGCAAAGGAACCAAAATTTGCTCAAGCCTAAAGGAAGAAAAGCTCTTGGTATGGGAACTTCATTTGTCGTACCCATTCCCTGATCATTTGATAGTTCGAACGATCGACTGCAGGAAACGAAACTCACTTTCGGGCGTGCCTGATCGTGGGGACCGAGAGATATCTCTGGACTTGGGCCTGGTTTATACCGTAGATGGAGATCCAGGTGAAATAACCCCCGACGACCAGAGTCCAGAACGTGTGACGAATCGTGGGGTCCGCGCTGAAACTGAAGAAAGCCGGAAGAACATATTCATGTTTACAGACGGAGGCGATTCGAGGAAACCTCAATCGTTTTATCATCTGGGCATTGTTGGAGCCTATGGTGGCCCTGATCGGTCAATAATGAAATCAACTCGCGTCGGTGTCGGTGAAATTACTCAAGTGATCTGACATGACAGGCACTTCCAAAGCGGGATGAGGACCAGACGAGTGACGGATGAAATCACGATGGGGTTCAGATCCCGTGTGGGAAGTGAATGTCTCTGGAGGAGGCAATCGAGAGCGGTAGTACTCGCTGGATTACTCCCATCAAGGCCGAGGGAGAATCGATAAGCAAGGTCGTGGGCCGGGGAGGTCGGGGGACCAGAAAAATCTACTTCAGGGGCCGCATTCTATTAAAATCTTAAACTTAGTTTAAGCAAATCGTTCAATCTCGACCATGCCTTTGAATGGGGCAAATACCAGCTAAGCACCTTGTTAAGAGGAAAATCGCACTTACGAACGGATTAGAACACGGCCCCTAGTCTCTAAGTGTCAGAAGGTCATGCAGCACGTCAGCGTTTAAGGTTGGCCAAATGTGGGCTTCCAACGTTGACCCAACTTGGAGGTTGATCTTGGCTCAACGTGGGACCGAGAGATGAGCCTACGAATGCCTCAACGTGAAGCCCACATCGCATGTGTGGGAATCTATATACATAACGACCGGCATCTGTCTGTGTGACCGGATTTTGTCCGGAGGAACTCCTCCTGGGTTTCTCAACCGATTTCCAGCGTCGATACCTCATTCGATTTGTAATTTTCTGCAGATGGTCCAACTCATTTTAGATTTTTTTTTTAGAGTTGATCTTTGACCTGACCCGGATGACCATCCGTATTAATTTTAGCCGCAATTCCCGACCTGACACACCATTCCACAGCCCTTGAAATCCTTTATTAGAATTTGTTTTCACATTGTAAAAATGTTGACGTTTGATCCTCCTGCAGTCAATCTGAGATGAGAATGCACTACCGCCATCTCTGTACGGTCTAGGTAACTGCTACCGTACGGCACCAATTTTCTACGCTTGACTTCTCATCAAAGCTCACACTTCTCAGTTGTACTGAATAGTGTTCTTCGTTCTCATCACCCGAGGGGAATATTATAATATCGGCTATCGGCATTAGCACCCGTTTTATTTAGGTTTTTTGCTGACTTTTTCTCAGGGAATAGGAAGAAAAGATCCCATGACACCATGTGATTCAGCTAGGCTGAATGTCATGCTTAATGTGAAGCCTGCTTAATGCTTAATGTAGGTTTTAGTGTCACGGTTGTTCCACTCATCCTCCACAACAACGTTGTGTCAACATTGACGAAAAAATGAAACGTTTAGACACTATTGAAGGAATGAGTTGCATCATTCAAGTACTAAACTCCAGTTGGGATCCAGTTAAGGAAGTTACTCGGATGGACCATTCCGTGGTAAAATTGCACTCATTAGAGTAATTCCAAGTTCTAAACAATATTAGCAAGCCTTGACAAGTGACATAATTGGCACAACGTGACACATGATCCTGTTTTCAACGTTGCACTGTGTTTCATTTCAACATTGCGGTTACATAGAATCCATATTTTACACATCGCTGTGGAAACATTGCGAAGTGTTGTCTCTCTGGGGGTTTACGGACGTTTTAGCATTTTTTAACCTCTATTTTCAAGTGTTTTTTTTCCTGGGGTAAATAATTTCTTTGTAATGCCACAAAAAAGTCGACAGAAACAACTGTAAAATACCCTCGCGCCGACTTGGCGTTAATACTGACAAAAAGTTGAAATAATGAAATATGGTTGAATTTGAGAATTTCTTCGAAGAATACGAAGAAATCAATTAAATGCTGGCTGTTCGTAATGAACCGAATCTTCAACACATCTGCACATGGATTGACGAAGTCGTTCAGAAGCTATTACGTACCAATTTCGTTTTCTTTTCACATTTGCTTTCGTCATGGTCTCAATATTGTTTCGAAAAAGAGTTACCCACATCATTTCGACGGAAAAAAGGTTCCAGCAATCGGCGCGAGATGACGCTTATTCGCCAATTTAGCGATAATAACCTTGATCCCTGAAAAGTATAGTTCCCTGGGGTTTTTCGTAAAGTAAGTGATCTATTTCCACGTGCAACTTGAGAATTCCTAGATAGACCATTTGAAGGAAGTAATCCAGCAGAAGAAGACTCCAGGTACTTCTGACCAGAGGGTCCGAAGACACGTGGCAATTTTGCCTACAGCACTTCCCAGCGCACCGAATGACTCGTGCTTTTGATATTCGTATCTCTTTCGAGAATGGCAGTGCGTTGACCGGCCTGCGTGGGTGTGCTTAACTTTCCTCTTGCGTGGGAGATGAAATAGGGGGTGATGCTAGGCACGTAACTCCCTTGCTGGACAGAATGAATTGCGTTGTTCAGATGCTAAACTTGAGTTTTTATCCAGTTAAGGGAGATACCTTCCGCCGAATAAATACACTCATTAGAGTACTCTTGAGCTCCATTTAATATTTGCGCTCGTCAAGACTGAAAAAAGGGGAGGTAATGCCTAAACTTTGACAATTCTACGCTTGAACAACGGGAAACGATCGAATCAACGTTGTTTCGTTACAACATTGCGGCAACATAGAATCTTCCTTTTACCCACCGTCGTGGCAACATAGCTACGTTGAAAAATCAACCCTCTCTCAATCTTGACCATACGTTGTTGGCCGAATGGGTTTGCTTAACAATTATGGAATCTTGCCACGTTGAATATCGTTGCGCCTGAAATTGCGTGTTTGTTGTGCATGCTCATGGCTGTCTGATTCCGTGTTAGTACTGTCCCACGGAGCCCTCACTGCCATGCAGCAGGTTTTTTCATATGAATTTTCAGTGTTTTTTTTTTCCCGAGGAAAATTATTCCATCATCGTGGCACAAAATTATCCACAGAGAAACGGCTAGATGATGCCCTCGGGCCGATGATCGTAGGAGAAAGCGAATCGCGTCTGAGAGTCATGATGTCGATCCCTCTTAACTTCCGAGTACCGAGGCCGAACGTGCTCAACTACGCTGAGCAAAGGAGACAGATTCCGAATACGATCAGTGGTAAAGAAGACATTGGGCATTGGCTGGGTCTGGGGCGGTTGACAAATGCGTTCAACGGTGATTATTTTCCATTAAGAAAAAAATTTTCCCAGCAATCGTCCAGCAATCCAGTGAACAACATCGAAATTCACCGAGTAATCATCCCGTGTGTACACGGGCTTCCGACTAGTCCAACAAAAGTCGCCTACGTTGGCCCGACGTTAGCATTGGCCCAACTTGGGTACCTAGGAATTCCTAACAACGCCTCTGCGACTTCATATCGCACTGAACTCTTTTTTAAGGGACTGGGGAAGGCGGGTGCTGGCAACTTCAATCGGCAATTTTCCGGCCCAAACATTGCACAATGAGCCGTCAGGGCGGTGTGTGATGTTCTGGAGGTGTAGCCCTAAATTCTGATTCCGTGGGGCAGCGATTGCCAGACCCTTGTTTTCCGTCGGGGAGGCTGCATAAACTGAGACGATTCTCATCTCGTCTCAGATTTTACAGCTTCCGGATCCGAATTGGGATATCCCAAGTGTGAGCCGCAAACCCTGACAGGTAATCGCAGCGTTTTTTTCTTTGCAAACGGGGACAATTGGCAAAACGTAGGTTCCCTTCTTTAGGTAGTCGAGTTCAATTTTAACAATCCCGTTATAAAATTGCCGAGTAGAAAATTGTAATATTGTCATTGTCGTCTTGCTCATACGCTGCTGCGGTCGCAATCATGATCCCGATCACGATCAGTTCACGATACGATGTCGCTACGCCCGTTTCTGCGATGTGTGATGAAGCGTAGAATGCGCAGCATACCATCATCCGCCCTCGTAATAATTATTTGAGGGCTGAAGGCCAACGTAGACGTCATCGACTTCATTTGCATGGATGAAGATGAATCGTATTAAACTTTTCCCTTGAAAGGAAAATGTTGCTTAACGCACTGTTGCATCGCATCAAAATTTCCGCCAAGGCTATCGGATTCCCCACCGCTTCTCCAAATATCAAAAACATTATGCAATACAAATTCTGCCTCATTTTGCGGAGTGGAGGACGGGGGAGGACTCACTCGAAGAACTCGAGCCGGCCGGACTGGAGGTTGTGCTGCCAGACGACGCCGAAGCCTCCAAGGTCGTTGATTCCCTTGAAGATCACGAGCATGAGGGAGCCGTACATGATCATCACCTGGACCGTGTCGGTCCACATCACCGCCTTCATTCCTCCCTTTCAAAAGAAATTCATTAATTTTATTCCACTCCCCGAGGAGAGAGCTAGAATAATTATGGGGAAACGTACCATAACGGTGTAGAACGTACACACGCCAAACATGAGACACACGGCCAAATACACGCTGATTCCTGTCACTAGGGTGGAATAGTGACAGAAGTAAAGCATATTTATCTGGTTTACTGCGAGCGAAGGTAGATAAATTGAGGTATGGAACATACCTTGACTGAGAGCAAGAGACGGAGCATACACCACGATCGCCATGTACAGCGTCTATACGAGAAAATTGCAAAACAATCGTCGAAATCAAATGAGTAAACGTCATGTACGACGTCGAGCAAACATGTACGTACCATTTGAACGGAGAAGATGATCGACCCGAGGGCTCGGATCGCCTTGCCGAATCTCAATTCCAGGTACTGAGAAAACAAAAGACGCATTTGGAGTTTGGAACCCGTCGCGACGACACCGCAGCGATCAGGGACCCAATCGAACGGGGAAAGACGACGATGCTTTAAGGGGGTTATCCCCTGGGCCCTGCTCTGAATAAGCAAGTGTGCCTTCCCTAATTCGTTGCATCCAGAAGGGATGGGAAAATATCCATATCGTCATGGAAATCGATACCGTTTTTATCTCGAAGAGGAAAAGCTTGATTTCGGGTGGGGGGGAGGGGGGGGGGGGATAAGCGTTTGACGAAAGGCAATTTGGAGGAAATAAATCTTCAGCATCAATATCCGAGTTCGGTTATTAAACTTGGCTGCATTAATGATCGGATAAGTGTGAGAAATGCCTGATGGCTTTCATATCACCTTATTTGTGGATTACTTCCTTTGAATTCACGCAAACCCATCATACCAAACTCAGAAAAAGGAGGTTTGAATCCAACAGAAAGGTCCAATCCAATCATTAATTGGACTGATTCAAGTATTGAAGTAATTGTACATGTGATCGGTGAGAGCAGAGATTATTTATTGAGGTCTCGCCATAATATTTATTAATTTCCTCAAAGAAAAACTAGAAAGAACTCTAGAACTAGAGAAAAACTCTCCATTCCCATTTTCATAACCTGATTTTTTTTTTATGCTTCGCAATGGCAGGGCTTCAGAAGCAAAGCATCGATCTCGCCTAGATATTGACGTCACTTGAAATACTTAAAAGTCCCCGCACCGCAGCGACGACTGCGGCCACCCCACCGGCGCAAGCGAGCCGGTTCCACTCGAACGACTTGCCTCGTAGGTGGAGGTCAGTTCCAGGTGATAGAAGACGGGCATGTAGAGGTACATGGCGGCGCCGGTGACGAAGAAGTAAGAGATCCAGATCATCCAATACATGATCCCGAATTTGTAGACCTCCGCCGGCGTTCCCAACATCGTAATGGCCGACATGAAACTGCATCCGAAAACAGAAGCAATATAAATAATGCAATTATAAGGGTTCGTTCGATTGAAGTCTGGCTCTTGGATTTCATATCAATTTCCTTCCGAGAAAAGAAGCGAGAGCGCTCGATATCACATCGCCACAGCAAAAAAAATGAGATCGAGTTACGTTCTCGAATTACACAAAGAGAAGAAACCGAAATGAAGCAATGACGGGAGCTGCTTCAGGATCACATATGGTAAGAGCCTAAATATCGAGGGTGAGTCTATCGTTGCCAAGTGCAAAGTTCTAGAATAAAAACTGTTTTATTGACTTTGAGGCATCAATGGATTCGTCTCAATATTTTGTGCGTCATTTCGTGGCGTCAATTACACTAGCATTGAAATCGCAAAATCCAGACTATTCGAGAAAGCGCCGCAAATCCAGGATTTTCGCGGAGGACGCAGTTAAAAGGAAGTCGTGCACAAGTACCATATAGGTGAAGGGCATGCACAAGGGCATGCTGAGTGGAATTTTTTATATTCACATGGAATAAATTGAAGAATCCAGGAACTCCACCGATGGCAAATATTCACCCGCAGTGACTATGCGTGCCGACGGTTCTCATAAATGCTGGATATACGAAACATTTTCGGAGAGATTTGCGGTGTGTGACAAACATTCCAAATTTAGATTCGAAATGCACGTCGGACAGCAAGACATGCTGCGATGGGCGACATCCGGGAAATCAACTGTACCGATTGAATGATCCCAGTCTCCGAATGTCCCTGATGGGACATTCCCATTCTGATTCCCAGGGAATGTTACATTTTTTTCGTCCAGCCTCGATCGTGAAATGTTTCTTGCTTTAAGCCTAGTTCCAAGTGCAACCAATCGGTCTCTGGGGACCGGTTAACTAAACGGAGCGATAGAAAATCCAAGGTTTATGGGACGAAACCCAGATATCTCCAAGATTTTGAGCAATGCACCAGGAACGCCATCAGAGATATTCTCATTTTCCATCCATCACATTTTAAAGTATGCGATCACAACGGCTAAGCTGGAATTTGGGCCTGCATCGAATATAAAAGCAGGCAATTGATGTTCACCGATCCTGAAGGAACTCGATGCAAGAAACAAGTCCATACCTGTCCGTGGCGAAACTTAAAAAAAAAATTGTTTTTGGATTAATAGAGTTGCAAAAAAAACACTGATTTTTTTTCTGTGCAATATTTGCAATGTAAGTGAACTCCAAGCGGGCGCACTATTTCCTGTTCCTTGTCATGTCGGCTTTGGCGGCAATTGAGTGCATTTAATGAAGCCAAGGATGAACGGTGTGAAATACGCGCGCGGTTTCGAGCTCATCTGCAGTAACTGCAAGATCGTCAATAATGGATTTTCTGCGACTGTTTACCATTTTGAACACGCCTGCATTCATTTCTTGCATTCAACATGAACACGCTAAAGAGAAGATCTATGACGCTCGCACATTTTGGTGCATCTGAGCGCACTGCACTCGTGGCTCCAACGGGGGATTCCCTTTCCACATAGGGCGATGGAGTCAGGCACTAACCCAAGGCAGCACACAACGTTGGGCCAACATTGGCTGCGAGTGGGGGAGCGGGGGCTCACATCGCAGTGGGCTGCTCACGTAGGCCCCACATCGGCGGTAGGGCGGCAGCCAACATTTGTCATGACTCCGGATGACACATCTATCTCAGTTACTTGAACAAAGAGCTTCCCACAGATTAAGCGGCGGCTATGAAGCCGCTATTACAACAAAAAGCTTCCCACAGTTCATGTGAGATGGCGCCTATGTAGCTGCTATTTCAGCGGGATCAAGGAGTGAATCATTAATTTAAGACTTCAGTACCTTTCATCCGGTACTTGACCTTTTCCCATAGAGAAAGTAAGGGAATACACTGGAACTTCTCAAATCATTAGTTTAAACAGGTTAAGCAGTCCAAGGAGACTCCTTTTAATCGTGGAGGAGGCATAGTTCAAATTGGGGCTTCACTCAATAAGATGCGGATAAAGATAATTCGACGGTCATAGAGGTTGCACGTGATTCCCCTTCGAGGGTGTGCTTCGAGGGCGAGACACGCGTGTTACGTCGAATCCCCGAATGAGTCGATTCCCGATTCCGCTGCCACGAAGCATGCCTCAAAGAAGTGTTGTTGGTAACATGCCACCAGATGTCTCTGTAATATTTCGATCCTCCCCTACCCAGGGAGATGTCTCTGTAATATTTCGAGACATCTGGTGGCATGTTATCAACAGCACTTCCTTGAGGCGTGCATCGTGGCAGCGGAATCGGGAATCGACTCGTTTGGGGATTCCACCCAAAAAGGTACTCAACTCAACGTAACTCAATGTAAACATGGGGCGTAACGTAAACGGGACTCAACGTAACAAGCATGTCTCGTTGAGTCCGCTGCTCGGTTATGGAGGAGTCGATGTGCGCACTCTATGTGGAGGATCGACAGTGACATCTATATCGCGACCCTGTCAATGAATGGGATTCGAGCCTCTAGTTACACTCTCTACTCTATGGTAATATTCCCTGGAGTACTTCCAGCCAGACAAAGAGAGATTCGCTGGCAAGGTCCCCTACCGGGGACTTTGCCAGCGAATCTGTCCAACTACGTACAAATGTAGAATCTCAATCGAAACCTCCTTCAGAGACCTGAATGTCATGCCCTACTTCGGCATTTGACGTTGGGTCAACCTCATTCACGGGACAAGCCTACGAAGGACCAACGTTGGGCCCACATCACAAATGTGGAATTCCAACATGGGCCCAACGCTGGCCCAACGAAGGTATGCTGCAGGGGAAGCAAAGGGAAAAGTAGGAGATAATTTGTTAGCCTCTGGAGGCAATGTTTCCTGTTAAATGACGAGCTCTAATATGGGACTCGGCTATGAGGGCTAAAAATATACCACAGACTGTTTCCATCTCCTATTCTCAAATTTCGAGGAATACATCTGACAAGGTAATATATGGAAATCCAGACTTTCCCTTTCGTGCTCTCCATCTCTATGCACTACATCCAGTTCTAGGAATTCATCGGAAAGTTTTGCCAATTTTTATTTCTCCTAAACCAATACATTTGTAATGAAACAGCATGCATTCCGGGGAAAGCGTTGTCAGTCGACAAGGTATGAATTACTTCGCTTTCTCCGAATTCGTCTTACTTAAGCCCATAAACTCAAAGTACCCGCCAGAAACTGTTACCAATCCTGACGTCGCCCGAGATCCAAACGTTCCTCCGAAAGAAAAGCCATGCTTCTCGTTCTTTACTTCGATTAGCTCTATTTCAAGGGGAGAGGATTCCTGCTCGATTATTTAATACTTATTCATCAGTAATTTTCTGAAGTATTAAAATGGACTACACTTTCAGAGAAAATCCATTAATTAGTCGGATTGGCCGAACTAATTTATTCTTGATGAAATAAATGTGACGTAACTGAGAGAAATGAATGAATCTAATGAATAATATACATCAGACTTTCGCATCTGATGTAATTCACCTGGCGATGTCGTCCGTTGGATCATCAAATAGATTTTCATTATTTCAATTACATACCATACCTTTTTCAGGTGATTCTCAGGCATACCTGCCATTCAGGCAACCCGCATGCCCCAAGGAGCACGCAGGGGCGAATGAAGGAATGGAGAACAGGGCGAAGAGGGGCGAGTGTAAGCCGTTGTGTCTCGTTTCACCTTCCTAATGTCTAGACGGAGAAACCAAGGGACTGCGAGGCCAAATCATACCCCCAGGATGAGTAAAATCCAGACGGCAGGAGACCGAAAAGCGAAATACCTTCATTCATGAATAGGATTTCTGGCCAACGCCGTATTGACGTATTGAAAGAATGTTCGTATGCATGTCTACATGAGGCATCCGTATTCACGTTGCGAATTGACTCTTCAGGCCGAGTTCATACTCGTGTTGTACAGCAACGGCAAAATTCAATCCAACGCGTGCATGTTCCATTGGACAGTATGCAGTTGCAGCATCCAGCATGCTGTACAGCAAGAATATGAACTCAGTCTCACGTATGTTTTTCATTTGGCATCGATATCTCGTAAGGGTCTTCCATGGTGCGGCTGCCAACTGAGGGATAGCCACTGGGGTCTACAACGCACCGATCCGTTTCTTCCCTTCTGCTTTGAAGGGCGAGAACGTGAACCGATGGGATTTAACAAAGGACTTTAGAAAGTGGGGGGGGGGGGAGGAATTGAGTGGGTTGTATCGAGGAATAACCCGTTTGTGCACCTGAGCGTTGTCCAACACGATAATGAACTCATTGCCCGGTTCGATGATGGCACTTAGTTAATTAAAAAATGCAGCGAACGCAACTCGTACGAGACCTGACTCCATTGTCTGGTGGTGCAAAAGTACATGAGAAGGAACGACCTTAACCTGATGAGCTGACAAACCGAAATTTCCATTCGGTCTTGCATTGATGAGCAAGTTCCTCTTCACATCTCTCTCTCGCAGTTGTGCCATCACGAATGCATCACAAATGGAATCGAAATCGGCTTGTGATTACAGACGCCAGACTAAAGAGGAAACAGAAGTTCCTAGACAGGCCAGAAAGTCGACGGTGGGAGCTGTGCTGCTCTCCCTCAGCTCATCGGCTGGCCCTCTTGCTCTCCCTATTTCCATCATCCCAGTCATAACGAATCCTAACTTCTAATTAATCCCCCTTTAGGGAGTGCGGGTTAGTGTCATTGCAGGAAGGCCTGAGAATCATCTGAAAAAAGTATATTCCACGATAATAATTTTCATGTGAGAGTGGCAAGTTTACTAAATCCAAAAGACTTCCCAATACCCAAGTCAAAAATTCCGGCTGGATCCAGTGTCAGGACTGGAAATAGCTGGATTTTGCTGGAATGGGTGCCATAACTTTCATGTGTTACTTAAAGAGAATTAATAAGAAGGGGCTCTTATCTGAGAAAATCTGAAGATGTATGCAATTGTTTTGACGTTTGATTGCAGAAAACAATATATTTTAAAATATTAATT